ATTTAGCAGTACTCAAGAACAGGCAAAACATCATTTAAATATTTTGCTAATGTTCAACTAACGCTTTTACGGTCACGTTTATGAGATCTGAATCTATTTGAAATACTTTAGATCTAGTTTTAAAAATGTTTTGTTACTTTATTGTGAAGTCTGTGACTGTTGGACAATTTGTTTGATGACCTGTTAAGACTGCATCAGACTTGTGCAAGGAATATAGTTCAGTCATACCTGGAAGATATGTGGAAATGGCTTATGGCTTAAAGATGCATTATTTAAGATTTATATAAAGAGCTGGCTTTTCTTGCTATAATAATTCTAAAATGAATACGGTAATATAGTGAAAATTTCAGTCAAATTTATTTGATTGAAGTTATAAAAGTATGAAGTTTTAAAGAACATTAGGAGATGGGAATTGTCTTATCCACTCAATAGCTAAGCCATCCAATCATCTAGAGAGGTTATTACAGTAAACTTTGTATACGTCGGATCTTTGCTCAACTCGGATAAAATCGTTTGATCCTGCATGTTTTTCTTAATTGCTCATTGCTCAACAAAGTTGGATCGGCAGTATGTTCAGAATTTGACTAAGTCAGTTTTCTCCCGATGGTCTAAAACACGGTTAGGTATTCCATGCACAGAACCCCAAAATACTTTCCCATATCATTTTGACGCGACACAATAATAGAAATTTCCCCCAAAATTCGAAACTCGCTGTCTGCTGTACGAGACACTTTCCAGGAAAGTTTAAGCCATTTTTCAAAGATGGCAACAAAAAGGAAGTTATCTACTCGCACATACAAACAAAAGCTTGAAATGTGCCTTTGAATCAATTACCTGACTCTTGCAGTTTATTTCTGATCGAGCTAAGATTGAATTTTCGGTCTTCGACTAACTCGGATCTTCGCTTAACTACGATAAAATTGCTCAGTCCACTTACATCCAAAGGTTATTGTATTTCCAAGTCATGTGAATAAATGTATAACATTTGAAGACCTGAAATGGGCAAATTTATCGCTAACATAATGCATCTTTAAGTATTGCTTTGTGTGTAGTAACATTCCTAGTGATAGCAGGATAGTTATCTGATTAATTAAAATCTGTGCTTGTTGAGCAATCAGTGTTATTACATTCCAAGTGATAGGATAGTTACATCACATCTAGCAGCGGTTATATGAAAATCATTGTCTAGTAATGAGTATAGAGTAAGATGATGACATCATGCGTGTCAAATGATCTATAAACTAGATTGGAATCTATCTTTAATATCTGTGTTTTATAGATGTTTTAGTTGGATGATAATTGATGTTTATGGCGTAAGATTAATGGGAAGTCTGATTACTTTATACAGAATCATTAGTATTATTGTAGCTACCATATTGACATGTTTACAGAATTTATATCAGATTTGAGACAAGGTATTCTCAGTTACTCCATTTACCATAATAAAGAATGTTTTGCTTCATGAGACCTAAGAAATAATACAACCAAAACAGTTAACTGTATGATTTAATCCCAAACATAAGTTCTTCAGAAATTATGGACTGATACATGTAGCATACAAAACTGGATCAGAATTGTTAAAGGCAATACGATACAGGATGAAAAATAGTCCAGATTATTGTAATTCTAGTTGCTGTTTTAGCTTGGATTGGAACTCTAAACTTGCTTATGATGAACTTATACACCTCTTGTATTATATAGATGATTTTAAATTTATTTCTGAAGCAAGGCATCTTTGATACAAATATTGATTGCATTACATTAGAATGGGATTTTTATTGGCCGAAGTTGTGTGTATTGATTTGAAATATTTAAGATGTATATTTGTAATCGGTTGATCTTGTGTATTTTCAGCTGTTAAAATAAAGAAGAACCGATACAATGTTAAGTTCAAGGTTCGATGTAGTCGATATCTCTACACATTAGTTATACAAGACCGAGAAAAGGCTGATAAATTACGTCAATCTCTTCCTCCAGGTAATTATTAAAGATGGTTGTATCTTAAACTTATAGCCATTTTGTGGTGTAGACCTCTTTCCTTGATTGGCAAGTCCTTAAAGAATCGAGACTGAAAAGGTTTGGCCCAACCCTTAATCAAATGTAAAGATTTTTTGCCCAATCTTTAAATCGAAACAGATTTTTTTCAACATATCGAGGGTTTAGAACATAATTGTGATAAGTCAATATATCAAGCATTGTGACTTATCAAAATTATGTTCTAAAACCTCGATATATTGTATACCTCACTGTTGGCTTGTTAATTATATTAATGTAAATTTCATCTCTACAGCCGGTATTTATTTTCAAGAGCAAAACTACCATACTACTCAACTAATAGTTACCTAGTTGAGTGAAGATAAACCTTGGTATTTTATTTACCAGTTTAATTATTGTTTATTACAGGTCTAGCTGTTAAAGAATTGAAGACAAAAGAAAAACCTCAAAGCAAAAAAGAATAAAGAAAAATGTTAAATTATTGCAGTTATTAGATTTTTTTTTCTCCCAAGTTTCAAATGATTAGATTTCGGATAATTTTATTGGGGTGTTCTTGAAGAAATGTATGGGTAATGTTCAATTGAACTACCATATCATTTGGACGTCTGATACTGTTTGCTTTTTACATTGACACTATTGGTGTTTGGTTGTTGATTACCAATAACACCAGCAATTGTATACCTCTCGACCTTTCAAAACCTTGAATCAATAAGTTATTGATGTCAAATACGCAATCATTGCTTTTGAGTTAAGTGTCCAAAGGTGGTGTCAATAACGAGCCATAGGCTCAATCAAAATGTGTTGCTTTGGGTTCGAAGATCTTGTGTCTATCCACTCCAGGATAGAGCAGATTGGGAAATCAACGGATCTGTTTTTATACGCCAACATTGAAATGTGGTTGTATATTGTGGTCACCGAGATGTGATAGTGATATTTTCTTATTCGTCAACCACAATTGCACATGAATGCTCTAGAGACGTAGTTATCATACTATTGGCTTGAAATTAATACAAACTGTTTATGTAAGGAAACCAGCGGGTGCCAGGCTTTGCAAGAGATGGATAGAGAACAAGCTAAAAACAAAAGCGATTTTTCATACAATCAGAAAGTTACATGAAATGCGCAGTTATCAAAATGAAAATATTGAAAATGTCATTCAAATTATTTCATTCTGAGCCAAGTTATCACTGTAGTTTTGACAAGATGTGTGCATTGTGGTGACCATCACACTGGTATATTCAAGACTTAGCCTCGCTTTTCCATTTGTTACGCCCACATTTTCATGTAGATCTATATTGTCGTTGCCCCTGTTCGTCCACAATTTGTGGACACTCTACAGGTCACAATTTTTATCCGAATTTGACATAACTTGAAATATATGTTTATCTCCAGAAGATCTCGGTTCCTTTCGATATTGACATTAAAATCGGATAAAATGGCCGCCCCTGTACGCAAATAATGTAAAAATATGGTATAACGAGGTTGTGGACCCTCTACAGGTCACAATTTTTATCCGATTTTGATGAAACTTGACACACGCGTTTATAACCAAAAGATCGTTGTTCCTTTTGATATTCTTGCATATCGGATCGTAACTTCCTGAATTATGGCCCCAGATTGTACCAAAAAAAATTGCGTTTATAGCTTGTGGTCCCTCTAGAGGTAACAATTTTTATCCAATTTCAAAAACCGTTTGAATATATCATCGTTACACCTTAATGGAGTTAGAGTTCGATTTTCGTAAAACAAAAACTGACCAAAATGGCCGCCCCTTGTGCGTAAATATATGGTATTAAGGTTGGGTTTATAACCCAAAGATCTTGGTTCCTTTTGATATTCATGGATATCGGATGGTAACTTCCTGAATTATTACCCTTGATTAAACGAAAAAACGTGTTTTTAGTTTGTGGTTCAGCTAGTGGTCACAATTTTTATCCTATTTAAAAAAAACACTCGAATATATCACCGTTACACATCAATGAAGGTTGACTTCAAATTTCGTAAAAAAAAAAATCTGACTCAAACTACCTGTGACAAAATGGCCGCTCCTTGTACGCAAATATTCTAAAAGTATGTAATACCAAGGTTGTGGACACTCTAGAAATGTATGATTATAATCCAAAGATCTTGGTTCCTTTCGATATTTTCATATATCGGACCGTAACTTCCTGGATTATGGCGCCTGATTGTACGAAAAATCACGTTATATAAATCACAGTTTATACATTTCAGGCCTAAAGAAAAGACTGCAAGGTTTTAAGTTTCATCAAAATCGGATAAAAATTGTGATCTCTAGAAGGTCCGCAACCTTCATATTACCTACTTTTACACAATTTGCGTACAAACCGCGGGCAGTTTCATTTCGATTTTTTTCGAAATTCGAATTCAGCCTTCATTATGGTGGAACGGTGATATGGTTAAACGGTTTTTATACGTCCACAATTTGTTTGTGGACACTCTGCAGGTCACAATTTTAATCCGATTTTAACGAAAATACAATACAATTGTGGACGGACGGACAGGGACGACGGCATAACACGTCCACATGAAAATGTGGGCGTATAAAAATTCATTTTCATACAATACTATCCCGAGTTATCGCTCTTGATCACTTCGAATAATCTTGTGGTTAATGTTAAATGGGTTTTAACAACCAACTTTGTGGCTAAAGTAATCGTCGGATTGATAAGAATTTTTTTTACACATTATATATGTTCATGAAAGGAAGAATCCCATTGATAGTAACGATCTCAGATAATTATTGCTATCTGCGCCACTCACACCCCAACTTGCTCAACCCATTGAGGTATTCCATTTAATAATTTTTCGCATCGCAAGTTTGATACGGTCAGAAGTTTTGATATAGTTTTGTATCATGAAACATGGCTGGGCTAATGCAGGATGGACCTAGGACACAGAAATCAGACACCACATGAAAACAAAAAGGCAAATCCAAGATCTATGGTAGCACTTTGTCATCACCTTAAAACGTAAAACCAAATCCATTATAATCAATCAGCTTTATTAATGAGTTATAATAGAATGGGTTAAATGGCCATAAGTACGTCGCATTTTCAGGAATTCGAATTCCCGCCATCTTTTCTATATATTTGGACACACATAATTTGCGATTTCCGCGGCTTTACTTGGAACTTCTGTCGAATCGGTTGCTGTAATTTGCCATGCTGAACTTTGTAAACAGGCATTGACATCTGATGGTGTTAAACAATTTCCATGAACTGTTCCAAAACTAAGCAGTCCAAGATTAACTTCGGCTTCTTCAAGTTGTGTAGTTTCTACACTGATCGGGCTGTTATCAAAGGAAGTCCCATCGGCAACAAGCATGACATATTGGTTTCTAGCACGTGGTACCGAGTCTAACATCAATCGTGCAGCTTTATAACCTTCTTCTGTTCTCGTCTCGACGAATTCACCAGTGAAATTATCGATCGCTGTATTTATTCCCGCCAAATCAGTTCCTAGATCGACAATCGCTCTACCTGTTTTGCTGACCATCACAACCCCAAGACGGCAAGCAGTAAAGTCCATATTAATGGCCATCTGTTTCACAAACGTGCCTAAATGTGCATCGTGAGTAACTGCTGTGCCAGAGAATGTACGAGTACTTTCTGAGTCATCAATAATAAGAACAATATCCGACTCAAACACTGAAACAATATTCAACAATAGAAATCGATTATTTATAATTATTGCCCTTGTTGCGACAGTTTGGTGTAAACGCGTTATTCAATTAGCACAATTTAATTGCATCAGAAAAAAATAATGAACCTTATGGTAATTGTGTGCATTTTCAAGACTGAACTTTCCTCATAAACATTGCATGCGTGTTTCGATAGAAATTGTAGATTTTTTCCTTTTCAATTTGGGTGGATTAAAGATACATCATGGGGAATTAGATAAAGAGCTGGCAGTTCTAACTATTATAGTTAAAAATTAGATAATGTAAAGGGAATTTGCTGAAAATTTTAGTCAAATTGATCCACTCTGAACCGAGAATTTAGCCTTAATCATCATTACTAAAGTCCGTACGATAAGAACATAGTCTCGATTATCCAGTTTTTTATTTAATCATTAATGAGCGTTGAGCAACAGATCGGATCGTAATCCAGTAAATATCGTAGGCTAGCGATGACATCGAGAGTTGATTAATGCCTGGATAAGTTAATTAATGTCTAAATAATAATTTAGATAACATTTCGGGCCTAAAGAAAGACCTGCAATAGACAGATTTAGCTCTTGCATAATGTATGTTTAATCTTATATAGTATGGTGATAAGGATGACTTATTGAACTTTGTATCGTTTTCGATTGAAAATTAATTTATAAAGCACTTTTTTGTATCGTCAAAGGAATGAACTCCTCGAAAAAATGCGCATATCCATGATAAATTACAGAGCTGTTGCCTTTGCATCGAAAATTTATTAAACGCGTTTGAACGAAAATTTAATTATATTCAGGACGATTGAAAAGTAGCACCAACCCGCTTTCGGGGGTCAATTTAACATGGAAAATTCGCTAGACAGGGAGCAGCGTTTAGTCGTTGGAATGGGACAAAAATTCGAGGCATGTGTACACTTTAGTTGGCACGTAAAACAACCAATGACAGTTTGAATTCGGTACAGAGTAGGCGGACACGGCGCTCTCCGGGGAAAATTTCCCTGGTAGCACACTGCATGTCGTATGCCTGTCTTCATTATCCCGATTGGTGTAGAACAGTAGAGCGTTAAACCCCATTTAATTTCTTTAACGGGAATTCTGGTTTAGCGTTAGGATCAGAGATGGACTGACTGAGTAGGAACCTGCCGGTAAACATGGTAGGCTAAGCGACCCATAAAGAAGTAAATGTTCTCGCTTAGTTTAGGGGGCCTAATATAATTTACGTGGTTTTTCATGAATTGGTAAGATTGCCACTCACTAAATTTGTGCATACGCAAGAAATATTAGAGTTTGGGTACTCAAGTTATGCGTTAGAAAGCACCATTTACAGTCAGGTTTTCAAACTTTTTGTAGCGCTGAGCAAGGCTCAAGGGCCACTGGCCTCCAGCCCGTCCATGGTTGGAAAAACCTAATCATTCTTCTTCGACATGTGGCAATTGCCGACCTTCCGGAACAGCCTGAAAATAATCGGCGCTTTTTTGTCCATTTGTGGTTAAATGATTATGTTGATTTTATTTTTTTATTTTTTTTATTTTTTTTTTTTGGCGGCAGGCTGACGTTTGTCCAAATTCCTTATTAAATTTTAACTATACGGCCTATATGTTGCATCTGAGTACATTGGTAAGATACACAAATGTAGCCTCCATCATATTTCGAAACGATATCCGATTCTGGAATCGGATCGAAACAGAACAAGCTCTCATATGTCTAAATACTAAAAACATCTACCAAACATGTGTACTTACCAACGCTATGGCTTGGAACATTGGTATTTGTCTCTGCAAAATACAAACACAAAAGATTAATGTAGATAAACACATATTAGAGACAAATATAGCACACGGCCCGAGCCACCTAGCCCGACAAATAATGATCATTTTTGACTCTACAACAATTCTCTGACGTTGCATTTGAAATAAAAAATAACCCCTAAAAGGTGGGATACATAATATTATTTTCCATTTGTGATTGGTTACATGGGAGTCACGGTGAATTGAGGACTGTGCTAGCTAAATAACGTGTAGGTCCCGGGGTAGAACCTCGGTGTTGGCCGAGAAAGTTCCTGGGGGTTTTCCAACCTGGCTTCCTGGGAAGGGGCTGTCAATGAAAAATCTTCTAGTCGTTCGTATAGAACCAAAAACCGATGAAAAGTAGGCAGAAACGTTGCTGTCGAGGCGATAATTCGCTCACTGCATGGCGTTAATTGTCCATCTTCTTTAGACCTTTTGGTGCAGACACGTGGGATCTTTTACTCTTTTTTTATTTGTAATAGTTTTAAACCTTATCATCAATTCCATTATGATTTCAACAAATATAAATGTACAATATACTTACCTTCACAAATTTCATTTAATATGTCTACAATCAAAGATGGCAAAAGGCTGTCGTTATTTGACCAGAACATATCGTCGTCGTCATCAATGATAGCCCTTAGATCACTAAGCTCAGTTCTGGAACTAGAGAAACCCACAGAGATGATGTTTACTCCCTCCCTTTTAGCGTCTGCTGCTTGTTGTCTGGTCAAAGCCGAATTCTCCGAGTTTCTGTTCGTCAAAAGGATCACAAACTTCTTACAATTCGGACTAGATTCGGATCCCAAATATTGTCGAACACTTAATAGACCACGGTATGTTTTTGCTCCGCCGAATTGCGGTCTCCACGTCATCATTCGTTGATAAAGAGTGGCTGGAATGTTGGTAAGAGGACTAACAAGTCGTACCGTATCGCTAACCGCCATGATACCAACACGTTCCATAGTGAAGTCCAATCGTCTTATAAAGTTGGTTATAAAGGTCAAAACACCCGGTGCAATGGTGGGTCTGAACCAGTTCATTCTCATGGTTGATCTGGAATCTCCCACCAATATTACAATATCAGCTCTCTGATTAAGTTGGCATACTGAAAGGAACATTAAATAACGTCTGTATATCAATAAACCGTATGATTATACCTGTACAAAGCAGCACTAAAGATGAGAATATTTTTTACGTAGAGACTCATCTTAAAGCACACCTGAATTTACGCGCCAAACTGAAAAGGAGTCTGTGAATAGTTTGGGACCATTTTTAGTCTTGGATTTACATCGTTTTTGATGAATTGGTTAGCAAAGCTTGCAGTTTCTGGGGGTTTGGTACTCTAGAAAGCACCATCTATAGTCAGTTTTTCAGAAACAAATCTCAACCAGGAGCCTCCGGTCCAACCCTTCCATGCCCCCCCCCCCTTTTAAAAAGTGATTATTGCTATGTATATTCGTTGACTGAAACACAAACCAAGCCATTATTCTTATTTTTCTCAATCTGAAATTGTAAATATAAATCTACTTACCGGTATTCAAATAAAATGCTTGCGTTAGAAAAGATAATGTCGCAATGATAAGAAGTAAATAAAGACTTCTAAAGCCGGACATTTTCCGATCTGAAATAGAAGTAAATATAGATATGTACACGGTACATGTATAGGTTTCCAGTTTATTTCAATAGGATACCATGTGCATGCGTGATTTGCTTTTATTTCTTATTTATTTACATTTTTTTCTTTTTATACTTGTGATAATGACGTCTTCTTTGGTCATTTCAGAACCGTATTGTAGGCTATACTACTGTGTATGCACTATTTTTCTAACAAAATGTTATTGCCGAGGGTACCTCAAACTGCGGCACAGGTTTCACAGATTAGACAAAACCACACAGACGGATCAGGATAATCGTTGTCAACAACTAATCCTTTAATTGGAAATAAAATAGGGTTTAACGTCATACATTACTACACCGACCGGGCCAATGAAGACGGGCATTTGAGCGGAATATGCTAAGAAATGAAGATAATTGTTAAGCCTATAGAGAAACTTTTCTAACTTTAATTACAGACTCGACTCTGTCCGAAATGTTATTCCAGCTGTTAAACCCACCATCTGCGCTTAAAACGTTCTGTAAATCAATACACTTTTTTTCCCGAAGACTTTGCCCAAAATATTACGACCTAAAGCTGAATAGTTTTCTTTTTTCCCTAATTTATCTTTGTCCCTGTTCGATGCCGAGAAGCTTCGTCGAAAAAAAACAGGCGCTAAACATAGATTAGGTTGTGATGGAACAGCGATGTCATCCGTAAAGAGTCAAAATGGGCCTATCAAACCATTAGGCCATCCGACTCCGCACAAATAACAAATATTGTTATATTCGCGGTTATTATTTCATATTCGCTTCTAGTATAAATACACAATGTATGACAGGCTTATTTAAACGAAATTGAACTGAATCTCTCCAATTATTTAGACTGTAATGGTTGAAAACTCAACCGAGTCTCAGCGAGACATCCCGATTCTAGCCAATGATAAAGGGACTAAATTCATAAGCAGAAATGCAGTGAAATAAAATGGGGTTTAACGTCCTACTGTTCTGATCCGACTGGGCTAATGAAGACGGACATACAATGGCCTACTCTTATATCGAATTCTAACTGCCAAGGGATCTTTTACGTACACGCCGATGTGTACACGGCACCTCGGTTTTTCGTGCCACCCAAAAGACTAGGCAGCTGTCCTTGTCAGGCCCTCCGCCCTGCACCACTATACGTGGGAAAATCCCTATGAACTTTCTCAGCCAATGCAGGGATCGAACACAAATTCATTATCAACGACTTGCAATATTGTATTTTTTCTTGCAGGTATTCGCCCGTCCTTTTTTAAAACCATTTGCTAAAATGTTCCAATACTTCGTTATCGATGAAAATGTCACAGTTTCTTCATACCTGATTTTCAAATATTCTTCAATATGTCACTCACTTTCCAATATCTGTAGCATGCAAGCCTTCCTTGATCATCAACACATTTGTCTCATCTGACATTTGACATGCTCACTGACAAATAAAACCTTTCACAGTGATAGAACATAAAGATGTACATTATGATCAAGATGTAAAAGACAATTCGTTAATCTTTATACTTCAGTTACTATGCACAGATAGTTAGAATCTCCCCCCACCCTCCTTCAGATAAAGCGACAGATTTGCCCCAGAGGTCCAATTTGTTACACCAGATAATGATTATAACGAAACAGAATTCTTTCATAATCCAAATAGCTTAAGAGGATAATATTTACAAGTCAAGAAAATGGCCTTCGGCATAGGTTATGACTTATAATGTGTGATGGCAAAAGATAATAAACCATTTAAGTACATTTTTATTTGACCGTTTAACCAGGACTTATTAGACATTTTTGTCACTGATAAGTGCGGATATTATTATATTTTTTAAAGGTTAGATATTCCCGTTCTGATGTCGTATTTTATAATAACTTCTTGTGTTTCAGGAGTACAGAAATGCTTGGCAAAAATGTATTTTATTGGTCACACTAAACGCTAATTTTACCATTGAAGTTACCAATAGAATGCTGTTCGAATATTATTATTATTATGTAATATGTTTTTTCTACAACCCCACACCCTAAATCTTTGAAATCAATATAATACCTTTGGACTGTAGCATGTTCCACACAGCCCTTAGAGAGCACCATCCCTTTACCCGGAGCTCCATATTTTCAGGGGTCTGTAAATTGCAGTGGCCTGAGAACCATACTTTGGATGGATTGGCAGACTTTAAATTTTAGATGAATTTTTTTTTAAAATTCCTCTATCCTAGAGTCATTTTCTAGTATGTCTGTAGTCTTGAGTTGACATCTCTCTGAATAGTCAGGAAGTAGGTTGGCAATTATCGCGGGAAGTATGTACCATCGTTTGCAAACTATCAATTTTGAGGTGGTAAGTGACCAGTGATGAATGAGATTTGTACATACCTCAAAAAGATCAGAAAAATGCGGGTTGGCAAAATATATCTTTTGCTGACCACCTGTAGAAACTGGTCTGCGAATACCAACCCAGCCGTTCGTGTTACCACAACACTGTGCATTTGACCTGAGCTAAATTTAGGGGTTTATTATTTATAAGGAACACTACAAGATTAGAATATTGAAAACCTTTATTTGTTTAGATTAAATTGGAATGATTATAATATATCATAAGCTCAGAAACTAATAAGAAAAACCTAAATAATCACAGATCTTTGGTTTTTATAAATGTACATTAATATCAGAAACTAGTCACCGTACAAGATGCCACAATAAAAGACCATATCCAATCAAAAGTACTCTCACTAAAAAAAATCAATGTGTTCGAAAATTATTGAATTTGAAAATTATTGAATTCGTTCAATTGTAACTTGTGTAGCCACTTAAAGTTTACATCAGTGTTTATTTATTTCTCAATGCCATCTTTAGGCATCTAAACTAAATAAAACAATAACTGTAAATGTTTTTTGGTATTCTAAGTTATCATACTTTTGTAAATTGTGACTTTTTGAGATATTTTTCAACCATCAGACTTGTTGCTTAATTAAACACACGTTATTATAAACACAATGAACATACAGCACACAGATATAAATACATTAATAACAGCACTCACAAAATTCATATACAATTGAATATAAACCTCTCATCAACTTGTCTTTACTAAGCTCATTTTGAGACTGAGACTAACAAAACTTCTTTTATCATGAACAGAAACCCAAATGGTGAGTTTGTTTCAGAATGATCAAAATTATGGTATATTAAATGAATTTAACCTATTCAGAATTTGAATGTATTGTAAGAACGATTAATCTAGATTATTCAAATATTAAAATGACACTCCATAATATTAAATGTGTCATGCTTGCATAAGTATGGTGAGGCACTTTTGATTGAATACAAAACAAATTTCAATCATTTAAATTATAAAATTAATTAGACATTGAGAATAAACAGATTAATTTGAAATAAAAGAGATCTTTATTGTGAAAAAGTAACACTAACAAAAGAGATGAATAGGTCAAAGTTTGATGAGGTCAGATTACCTCCTCACAGATTTCAATAAAATCTATAATATAGATTTTACTGAAATAAATAATTCATTCATTAATTATCGATCACTCTTTTCTTTTATATTAATTTTGTTGAAGGTAAGGCCTAAATATTATTGATATTCTTGTGTTAGGCCTAAATATTATTGATATTCTTGCATTACTATTGCAAAAACAAAATCTTTTAAAACTGTCTTTCTAATACATACGATTATAAACTTATGATGCCTCTCGCACTGCTTGACAACAAACACAAAGTTAATTGACAGGAAATTTTTGGTCAAAATACACTAAGTTTTCTTCTTCAAGAATTTTCAGAAATGTATACCGGGGTATTCTTCTTTCATTTCATCAAATCGAAAATGTTAATTGAGTCTTTGTGTTTATGAAAGATGTAAAATGGATTAAAACCACATTACAAAGTACATAGATCTATTCTCAAGGTAGATAGTTCTCTGTGCACAGAGGCTTTGTGTTTCATTTCTTTCATTTTTTTATTTCTGTTCTGAATAATAAATGGAGCATATTGCATTTTTTGCTTAAATTAAAAAAAAAAAAAAACATTCATGAACAAAAATATTATGTATTTAACTGACATGCAATAGAAAACACTGAGATTTTGTTGACAATATATAAATATGGCACATATTTAAATGATAAGCAGTTTTTATTTGCATAGCTTTAGTAATAAATATAAATGATTTATAAAAAGAGATTCCCAATTGCTACAGTAAATAGTTAAATATGAGAAAAATATCTAAAGAAAAATTGGCATTAATCATGTTTTGGCGCCCAAATAATTTAAATTAATGTCAGTTGAAAAACACAACCAAAGTTTTGACAACCATTCTGATTAATAAGTGTGGTTTAAAGATCGTGCGCCAGACAGTAAGAAATTGATACCGTACAAGGGAGTCAATCTGAGAGTTGTATCAATATATTACGCAATGTCTTGTTCGATGCTATTTAATCATCCTGACATCTTGTATAAATAATATAATGTACATGAAAGGTAAAAATATTAGAAAAAATTGTACGCCAAAGGATGACGTTTGCATTTTAAGGATGAATACCTAAAATACATCACTGGGATATTATATGTTATGGGCACTAATTTAAAACAAGTTTTTAGACATATATAGTAAATATATTGGTGGCCTTAAATGATAGATTATATAAGTACATCTTAATCTTTGATTTCCAATATCACACTTTTGATCAAATAGATTGTGTCATAATATAAATAACTGTAAAAATTTACAAAGAAAATATAAACAACTATGAGATTTCTTGGTGAACATTACTTCATTGTTCCAACATTGGTCTCTCCTTTTCACTCAATAATAGGGCAGATGATGAAACACCTGAACAAAGACATGAGGGTTTTTTTTTCACTTCGATCTCATCTATCTTCAGTTTATTTGTTCGAGTTCTTTCTCATCAACATCAGCATCAAGATCTTTAGCTTGTTGATTTTGGTTGTTACTAGTAACAAGGGCATTAACTACTCCAATATTCTTTAACATACCATCCGTTTCATTAAACCTGTCAACAACAAAATCATCTGGATATAATGCAATGTAGTTGTAAATGACGTCAAGTTCAACAGGGAATAAAATAAAAGTCATCACCACACCCACTAGGTCATTTCAGGACTAACATATGGGTCAATTTTATTTCAACAATTCGCTTGCATGTAGGAATCTTTAGTAGTGGGAGGAATCCGGAAGATGATGAAAAAACAAACAAGGTTGAACAAGCGACCCTACTTTCTGTCATGTGTAAGTGGGGAATCGAAACCACATCACTTGACTCAATGACAGACCTTGTGATTTCACCACTTGACCAACCAACCCCCCATATTCACCTAATGTACAACTGCATCAAGTTTAAACAATCTACCTCAATTGGGAACAAAAATTGTCACAAAAAGTGCAGGAGCACATTAACACAATGCCATTCCTATCAAAGAAGTTAAAAGATATTAAGTTAACTGGACGGACCTTAAAAGGGAGCATGAACAAAAGTTTAATGACAGTTATGGCCCTTGTTTCACTTTGTTGAATCTTGTCAACACTTTAATGACAACAGTTATCATCCGATCTGTTTGAAATTGATATGCATCATTTAAATTAGTGAAACGAAGAAGCCTATTGAAATTGGCGTGGGTGTGACCATTATGAATAACAATACCGGTAACAGTTATTCACGTTATCGCTATCACTAGTATCAGAAATACATCATAGTTTATAAGTACTACTATTAGGGCGGTTCATGTTAAAATTGAAAGCTGAACTAAATCCTGCCTGGCAGCCGCTGGTTTATTACGATATATCTTTTAAAATAATGTTGTTGTTTTTTTTTTACTAGATTACCCCTTTGTTACATATATTGTGATAAATTAGTTTACTCATAATTACCAAGTAAAATTGATTTTAATAGCTATTTCTGTCACCAATATAACATACTAAATCTGATTCTTAGAATGATAAATAGATACTTGTATAATCTGATATGAATAATATGGCATTTTTTTTCATTCATCAAGGCCTATTTTTAACCATAATTCATATTTATTGCACCTATTTTAGTTTATTTGTGCATATGTTAGCCAGGAATGGTAAAACATAGCTGTTAGACAGATTCCTTTGGTTTCACAAGTTGATTTCCTTTATTTTGTTAATGTAGAATGGTAATGAACTGCTCTTTTCATTTTCTTTGTTTTATTTGTTTCGTTTGAATTTGATTTATCTGTTTAGTTTTTGATTGTTTAATTTTTGTTAATGAAGTTGATTCTTTTAAACTTCGTTTTTTTTTTTTGTGTGAACTCTACTTGGTGTAGGTGTTCATCAGGTAATACCTCGACTGAGTTCAATATAGAGATTAGCCGGTTGATTTGTTGGATATAAACCTTTGAATAATAGCGCCTAACAGGCAGCTGTGTTTAATTATGTTCTCCTGATTTTGATTGTTTCTGTAGAATGGTAATGAACTGCTCTTTTCATTTTCTTTGTTTTATTTGTTTCGTTTGAATTTGATTTATCTGTTTAGTTTTTGATTGTTTAATTTTTGTTAATGAAGTTGATTCTTTTAAACTTCGTTTTTTATTTTTGAACTCTACTTGGTGTAGGAGTTCATCAGGTAATACCTCGACTGAGTTCAATATAGAGATTAGCCGGTTGATTTGTTGGATATAAACCTTGTTAATGAAGTTGATTCTTTTAAACTTCGTTTTTTATTTTTGAACTCTACTTGGTGTAGGAGTTCATCAGGTAATACCTCGACTGAGTTCAATATAGAGATTAGCCGGTTGATTTGTTGGATATAAACCTTTGAATAATAGCGCCTAACAAGCAGCTGTGTTTAATTATGTTCTCCTGATTTTGATTGTTTCTGTGTGTTTGAAGTATACGTTTGTGATATGCGCTTAGAAACACTTCATGTGTAATGAAGTGCTATATAAATCGAACAATAATAATAATAATAACTAGACCTGCAAGCAGCACTGAACCGGCTTTCAGGAATCAGACAGGAAGTGTGTCATACAATAGCCCATTTATCGAGCTACCAAACGATACTTTAGATGTGTTGATCCAGTCACACCCGACGGTGAAATCCCGATTGTTCCAAGAGCACCGATTTTTTTACTGTCTTTTTTTTTTAAATATCGAATATTTTACTTGACTACTTCCTATTTAAGGATCATTATCGGGATAGATTTAACAAGTGGTATGGGAACTTAATTTCCTGTACCAGAAGTTTCAGAAAGATCCATTGGACAGTTTTACCTCCCTTATACCATTAGAAGCAGATTTACAGATATATAAGATTTTTCGACTTCTTTTCAAAGATTGTGGCCCTTTCGGACCATTTATACTATACTGAGGCTTTTAAATTTGGATTCACACCATAGACCACCGTTAGGACTCTAAGTAACAGAAGTTTAAGAAAGGAAATAAGAGAAGTTTTCGAAATAAAAGCGTCTGAATAGGCTCCAAAAAAGAAAATAATAGATTTTCAGCGTTCCATTATATATTGCCTAACCCGCGAATTTTTACCATTTAGATCTCATAAGATTGTCCATTGTTCGAACTATCCAATGACACTTTAGTTGTTTTGATTCGGTGAAATCTGGCGTAGTAATCACTTTTTTCGCAAGATCTCCATTTTTTAAATTTTTACGTTTTTTTTTCTTCAAAATATCCGAAATTTTTTCGGCTACTTCCGTTTTTTGGATCATTGTCGGGATAGCTTTAACAAGTTGTTTGGTTACCTTACCTTCTGTACAAGAAGTTTCAGAATAATCCATTCAGCTGTTTTCCAAAGAAAGAAAATTAGAAGATAATTTTCAGTAATCTAAGGATTTTTCAACTTTTTCCCAAGATTGAGGCTCTTTTTGGACAACTTATGTTATTTCAATGCTTTTATTGTTGGACTCACGCCATAGCCCACCCATAGGACTCTGCGTTAAAAAAGTTTCAGAAAAATCGGAGTTGTCGTTTTCGAGTAAAAAAATGTCTAAAAAGGCTCCAAAAACGGAAAATACTAGATTTTTGGCGTACCACAATTTATTTTCTAACCATCGAAATCGTACCATTGAGATGCCATATAATAGTCCATTAATGGGGCTATACAAAGACACTTTACTTCTTTTGGTCCGGTAATATCTGACCGAGAAATCCAGCTTTTCGCAAGAGCGACAATTTTTTAACCTTTTTTTTTCATTTTTTGAATACTTCCGGTATGGAGATTATTGTCGGAATAGTTTTAATAACCAGTTTGGGCAATTAAATAGCGGCAGGGCTCTGTAATGATATATTACATTATCTGATCAGATAAAATGACCCTGAGAAATCCTATGTTCAAAGGTGCCAAAAATGCAAAAATGTCAAAATATCGAAAATTAAATTTCAATAACTCAATACATATTATACATCGTTAGAATTGTAATTAGGTCAGCTATCCGAATCTGTAATCTTTTTGTAAAAATTTGTTTAAATAATAAAGTAATAGAGCATTTTGCAAAATTTCACGGTTTTTTGACTTTTTTCGATTTTCAGTCCCTTTTTTATCGTATTCCAGACATTTCAAAGTCTTATTGGATGGCATAATTCACAAGACTATCGAATGGACTCTCGATAGAGAAAGTTAAAAAAAAAGTTGCGGTTAAGATTTCGAGATACAGGTGCCCAAAAACGCCCCAAATCAGAAAATACTTGATTTTCAGCTTGTCATATTTTGCTGCTTGGTCATAGTATCCGTATAAATTGGGCATCATACGACAGTCCATTCCTCGGGCCACTCAATGAAAGCTTAATTTGTTTAATCCATTGATACTGGACGGAGAAATCAAGTTTTCCCCCAAAACACCCATTTTTTGCGTTTTTTTCAAGATATCTATCATTATTTCGACTACTTCCGGTTTCCGAATCGTTTTTGAAATTGCTTTATGCAGCGGTCTGACTATATAGCTTTATGTTCCAGGACTTTCAGAACTGTCGATTTATCCTTTCCCAAAAATATAAGGGTTGGGAAATGGGCAGAAAATTCGAAAAAAAATCGAAAAATAAAGGGCGATAACTCGGAATGAAACTTATATTTCTGGTATCGGATGGTCTTCAGGCATCCAGAAATGCAGGTCAAATTTGAAAATTTTGAAAAATAAAAAAAATTGTCTCTTAAAGAAAAATTTTCATTTTTCGAACGCTAGAAGTCAGCGACGAAGTTTCGAAATTTCCAACTGCTATCGTCCGAGAAAAGACTCAGGGTTTCTGAAAATGTCATTTGTATGAAAATAGGTACAGAATTGTCGAAGCTACAGCCGTTTTTTAATTTTTATGCACCGCACGAAATTCGGTCACTTCCGGTATGCGTAGAAGTTTCAAAATTGTTTTAAGAAGTAGCCACCACATGGTTTCCCGATAGAAAATTTGGTTCCAGATCGATATCTGTTTCCGATCATGGAGAAATAGGCTCCCGTGGAAAATAATAATAATAATAATAATTTTAGTAAAAACAATAGTCTTTCAGACAAAGTCTGAAAGCCTAATAATAAAATAAGCATGGATCCATTTCAATATTTATAATATCACCAGTACCAAAAGCTATCATATAATAAAAATAAACATACAGGTTTTTGATTCTGTCTACCCTATGTTGTGTTGACTCATCAATAAAATGACATGGGTTGACTTCACAGTCGCTAGTTACTGGTGTACTACTACCACTAGGTAACACATCCACAATCTCGGCTTCCATATCAGGAGTAAGTGCTCTGATTGGAGGACTGTTTGTATTTTCATTTGAGTTAATTTTCAGTGGTTTCTCTGGTGAAATTTGAAGTTTTTTAACCAGTTTTCCTACAAAATACATGGCAAATACAAGAATACAAGAAATCAATCAAATATTTATTGAAGTGATAGTAATACAGAGTTTAAGATCATATGATCAGAATACTTTTACCAATAAACATGATTGCCCTTAGTTCACTAAAAATAAATTTTCTATATAACATACCTTACATTCAATAATTATCAATAATGTATTAATTTCTATGATGATAATATAGATTCAATTTTTTATTGTTTTTATACTTTCGATGACTTCCAGATAGATCCTATTGGTTTGCACAAAAGGTTATGTCATTGTCGGACAATCATGAATTTTCACTGAATTACATATTTCTAACCTCTGGGTTCTTTTGCTTTCTCGCAGATCATGAATGAAGCTCAACAAAATGGTTCATTTCATTGGTTTATCCTCCACAAACAGAACATAGATTATTTTAAAATAAAATAAAATAAAAAGAAATTTGCACCATAAAAATGAAACCAGGGCTGGCCACGAATAAATTGATGGCGAGCAGATGACTGCTCACGCAAATTTAGGTTTGGGCGAGCAAGGCGAGCAATAAAAATTGCTCACGCAAAATGTTGTTTGCGTGAGCACACATTTTGTAACATTGTTTCAATTTAAAATCATAAGAAAATTGCTATTCCTGGCACAAAGTTTGCAGTAAACATGTGTGACCATCGCTTTCTGTTTTTGACAGTCATACGTACTCTTCTTTATTAAAACCAATTTCCGTATGGATTTCTTCACCCCACGAAATAAATGTGGATAGGGCAATCAGGTTGCCTTTGGCCATTATTACGCTTAGATTGAAAATTATACGACTGCACAATGGAATAAAAACCGAAGTTCTGATAAAATAGGAAATACCGATAAATATTAGTTTGAAACGTGTTCATTTAGCGTGAATGCCTAATGCCGGATGTAAATATTCTTTACTTTAGACTCGATTATCACGCGTTCGTTACTGGTGTTCGTAGGAAAACCAGTCATAACGTTCAGGTCTAAAGTGTATTTTTAGTAACAAGAGTGCTGAGTAACTTTTTAGCCAATCAAATTTAAGGAGGAAATGCCGCGTGCAGCTGGGTGAATCTCAGTTTGACAGACAAATTTATGAAGTTATTGACATTGTTGGTTTAGTTTCGGCAATAAACTTGTCAATATTTTGATTATTTTTACAGGGTTTTCTTAAAATTTTGCGCGAGCAACGAACCGCTCGCGTAAATGTAGATTTGCGCGAGCACAGCGCGAGCGCGAGCAACTGCTCGCGTCTCGTGGCAAGCCCTGTGAAACTATCTGTGTTTTAATCAGATTAAGAAAAATATGACTTTAGCTAAACTAGAAGTGGTGCATAAAAAAAATGGAGAATTGGACAGAATGCAGCACTTTCATTTCAGTATCAAGATGGTCCTACCTCCATGTACAACAGATTCAACAGAAACAAATGCTCCCTTGTTCGAATTCTTAACGGTGGATGCTGGACTGTCACAGTTGTATGGTGGAGGATTATTAGCTTCGGATTCACTCATCAAACTGTCCACCTACAAATATTTGATACCAAACCAAATCAACAATAGCAGATATAAACTTAGTTCATTACATTGCCAGGAATGTTTCTGAGAAAAGAGCAGTTAAATTTTGAGTAAAAAGGTCAAATGTTCGCATTTCATTCTGAAAACAGTACCAATCCGGCCGATTGTAGTGGCACAGTCAATTTCTAGGTTTTTGTCTCCTCGGGTAGCATATCTTTGAATAACTCGTTAAGTTCAGCATATACTCGTTACATTGTGATTTTTTCTCGTAATTTTCAAAAACATAAGAAACTTTAACCAAATTTCCCACATTTGTTTTCATCTTTGTAATGTGAAGGTTATTGTATAGCAATGTAACCGTTGCAAATTTATTGAATTTTATTGCAGCCTGGAATAGTTCACGGAATGGAATGCTTATCACAGCCAAGAGTAAACATAGGTATACTCTTAGTCATAGTTTATCTTCTCCATGTGATTGCATCTTCAAGTGTACAATAATAGGATAAATTAATAGCATTATTATTATGCACAATCTTACGCCACCTAGTTATTTCCTTATATTTTATTTAAAACTGTTTACCAGAGTTCAACCATCGGCTGCCAGGCAAGATATACCCACATTTTGCAAGAGATGGATAGAGAACAAGCTAAAAATAAAAACGATTTTTTGTACAATCCAGAAAGTTATGGTCTGAAATGCGCAAATATCAAAAGGGATTGAGATTTTTGGTATATAAAGATATGTTTTAAGTTTCAATAAAATTGGATAAAAATTGTGACCTCTAGAGGGTCCATAACCTTTGTATTACATGCTTATACACAATTTGCGTACAAAGAGCGCCCGTTTTGTCGAGCAGTTTCATTTCCATTTTCCCGAAATTCGAATTCAAGCTGGTGGAATGGTGATATATCTAAACGGTTTTGAAAATCGGAAAAAAATTGGACCTCTAGAGGGACCACAAGCTAAAAGTGATTTTTTGTAAATCAAGGGCCATAATTCAGGAAGTTACGATCCGATATGCGCGAATATCAAAAGGAAATGAAATGAAATGGAGTTTAACGTCCTACTGTTCTGCTCCTAACCTGGGCTAATGAAGACGGGCATACGCCATACAGTGTGCTATGAGGGAAATTTTGCCGGGACAGCGGCACTACGGCCTACTCTTATATCGAATTCCAACTGCCAAGGGATCTTTTACGTGCACGCCAATGTGAACACGGGACCTCGGTTTTTCGTCCCATCCGAACGACTAGACAGCTTTCCTTTTCAGCCCCTCCGTCCTGCATCACTGACAAGGGAGAACCACGCCGGAAAATCTGGATGAACTTTCTCGGCCAATGCAGGGATCGAACACACGACCTCCAGGCTAGCGAGCTAGCGTCTTACCCACTTAGCCACGTGATCCCCAAATATCAAAAGGAACCAAGATCTTTGGGTTATAAACATGCATTTAAAGTTTCATCAAAATCGGATCAAAATTGTGAGTGTCCACAAGCTAAAAACGTGATTGTTGACAGATGGACAGGGGCGACGACAATATACGTCCACATGAAAATGTGAAACTTGCAATCAATAGAAACAGGAAACACATTAAATACAGACGGTTTGATGGGATCAATTTTGACTAAGTCAAAATGATGCCTTTGATATTCAGATAAGTTGACATAAAATATCTAATAGAATACAATATCAAAAAAACATCGTTTTATCCAACATTTCGTCAGTAAAAATACTAACTTCTTAAGGGATGAAAAACTAAATGGTTGACAAGATTATATAGCCTCAAAACATCATCTTTGGTAAACCCTTTTTATAGTTTCCTGAACAATTTTGCAAAATCAATTTTTTTTGTGAACCTTTCTTTTTTAATAAACTTAAATAAAGACAAACAAACCTTAGCTTCTAACATAGCATGTCTATTCTCTTGTAATATTAATCTAGATAATATTGTTTCTTGTTGTTGTTTTATCTGTGTTAATTCTGCCATGATGTCAGCTGATAATGGTGGAGGTTCTACAGGATGTATCATTGTACTGTTACCAACAGGGGAGCTAATCTTAGTTTGTGTTTCAAGACATGTTATTCTTGTCTTTATTTCATCTGTTAACTGTAAACATTATAATAATATTACACTACTGTCTCCAAATAACGGATTCAAATTGTGATCTTCTTGATCAAAAGGTGTACTTATATTCGATTCCGGTAAAAAACAGAACTTGATGAACATAAATCTTACAACTATTTCCATATAAAATATTTATTTTATTTGCTTGTCAACACAAAATATCCTTCAAGAACTGTCTCACAGAAGATTCAACCCTTCTGGTTTGAACCTTGACACTACTAAGTATATTATTCTTCTTGCTTACCTACAGATTAAAATTTCTTTCATTTGGAATATTTTAATTTGAAAAATATATTTTATAATCAGAATTTGCAGCTCTTTGGACTTTATGGTGTAATAATAAGCGCCTACAGAATCGTGTAATAAATAAACAGGAATTTTTCCTAACTAAACACATATGCAGTGGAATCTGTGACTTCCGACATTATACTTTATGTTGAAATCTTCCACCTTTAGCGCTCATTTTGTTTTCATCACACAATGATACCCTTCAATAATAGACGGAATGCGCATGTAGAAATCTTAAACGGCACCGGGATCAACACCCGCACTTTCGCCACTAACTTACTTTAAAGCCTTTCATGTTATCAATAGAGACCGACACGAGTATTAATCTCACCTATGATTGACTGGTTATTGTTTGTCAATCTTTTGTAGGTTAACACCCCCTGTATGAAGGCTGGATTATACGATGTTAATTCAATGCAAATCATGTGACAGAACCGCTGATTGATGTCGTAATTCGTAATATTCAAAACTTTTTTGGTTTAAGTAATAAACTGGGAAATGAAACTGATGACAGATTTCCATAAATGCCTTAGTATTCAGAAGCCAGTTGTAACAGAGTCCACTGTAGTATAGTCAAATTGTAACTTCTAAATGTCATTTAAGAATTACTTACTTTAAATAATTCTGATATTTGATCGAGTTTGTAATGTAGATCAGTTGGTATTTCCACCGTTTGTTGACTAGATTTGATAGTTGATATCTGACTTGATGCACTTTCACCATCTATAACAAATGGAGATATCAACAACAACTGATTAAGTAATTTAGGCCATAAAAGAAAAATATTATGGTTCTCAGATAATCCAGCAATCCGGATAATTTTATTTCCAAAAAATCAAATCAAAAACAATCTCCTGAACTACAGAACATAAATGTTTCCCCAAGTTACAGAAATAACTCTATAAAATAATTTGAATAAATCCAGAAATGTGGTATTAACTAACCCTCATAAATGTTACTGACAATGAATTAGGGCTGGCAATCGGTCCCAACAACATTATATATATATAGTGTGTGTGTGTGTGTGTGTGTGTGTGTGGGTGGGTGGGTGAGTGTGTGTGTGTGTGTGTGTGTGTGTGTGTGTGTGTGTGTGGGTGTGTGTGTGTGTGTGGGTGTGTGTGTGTGTGTGTGTGCGTGCGTGTGTGTGCGCGTGTGTGTGACTTACTGCAATACAGGCAGATTACGTGGATCCAAGTATAACCATTACAGTCTGTACAAGTGTATATTATTATTAATATGTATCCAAAAGCAACCAACCTCGAGGTAACCTAACAATCTCTACTGCTGCTGGTCGACCTCTCATAATACTGGATGTACCACTGTATGACTGATTATCTGTGGCTACTCTAATACTGGTTTCTTTTTTTACTGGTGGTTTATGTTGAATACTGTGGGCTTTAGGTTGTCTACCCTGTGGTGCACTAGTTGGTCGAGTTAATCCTACAGTTCTACTTGTACGACCAAGTGATTCTTTAGCCATCTTTTGACCCTTGGAAGTTTCTGATAGGGAAATTGGGTACAGATTAATATACTGATTGCAATGCATTGCCACATTATTTTGAATTCATTTACAACATCAATTGATATCAATAGTTAGTGTTGATATCCAATAAAATATTAGGCATCAAGGCATTGAAGGCAAGCATTGATATTCTAATATTCATAGCAATGATTTTGCCCTTCACAAATGAAAAATTCTTGCTGCATATTTACGATATTTAATCTGTTTACATCTGCGCCATTCGATAGTTTAGATAGTTGATTATAGGCTTGTCATGTGAATAAATGTCTAAATAATAATTCATATATCATTTGAAGCCAAAATAAAACCCCTATAATTGGCAGATTTAGCTCTTACATGATGCATTTTTAATGATAACAGCATTAATGACAGTATAAGCAAATAAGACTAAAAACTGATGAAAGACTTAAATTTAAACAGATATCGTTTCTTATTACTTTTATACGTGGTATGAAAAGAGTTCATTCAAAAGAGTTACCTATCATTGACACTCTTCTATTTTCAGCTGATTTTGTTCGCAACTGAAATAGAAAATACAAAACACATAATTGTTGATCTTAAATTTTAACCCCAAATTAATGCATAAAATAATTCAATTAGACATTAATAAATCTTGTCAAATCAACAGGAATGTAGAGAAATAAGTTTAACCTCTCCTGTTTATGCAAGCTCTTAAAGATGGGTTCCCAGAAAAGTATTTATCGGGTGGTTATTTCCAATGAAAGTATGGCAATTTTGGTATATATGGAAAGTAGAGATATCCAATCTTACTAGAAAAATACTGGATTCCCCGAAAAACACTCATGGAGCGTATACAGGACAATAATGTAAGGGTTCCCCTAATCGACAGCCCGACGGTTAGGAATTTCTATACGTGTGATGTCAAAGGTCACACGCGAACACTGAGTGGTTGATGTACAAGTTGATAAACTTTATGAAGAGTTAGACGTACAACACTTTCTGAGATAAAAATGACAGAAAAAGACGTGGGTAGTGGATAATCCAAGAATTTAATTAGGATTCGATATTTGTAATAAATAGTAAGCGATTAAAGACAACATTGTCTTATGTATGCAATGAATTCTCCTCTGACTTCCAAGAGAGGTAAGTCCTTCCAATTACAATGTTTGAGAAGGAATTGAAGCAAAATTATGACAAATTAATTAGTTTGAATATGTTTTTAGTCCATATATACCATTAAATCACCCAGTTTGTACGCGGGAATGTATCTTTAAATTCATGAGAAAATCATCTTGAATAATGGCATGCCAATTCCCAAAAGTATAATTTCAACCTTTTATTAAATTTTTCAAGATCTCTTGAATTGTGCAATTTCACAATACTTTTTTTTTTTTGCTAACCTGACTAGCATTTTTGTTCAAAGATTCCATAGAAGAGGAACTTCGCAAGTTACTGGTGGATTTTGAAGTGGGTTCTAGCTCTTTTTTCTTGGCGCGAAGTAAAGATAAGACTTCTGTTGACATGATAACTTTACGTTCAGCAAACCCAGCAGAAAAAAACTGATCTTTTGTAACAAGTGGTTTGTAGTGGAACAAGTCTCTAAGGATCTGAAAACAAGAAAGGAATATTAGCTTCTCATCAGTACTTTATCTAGAAAACATTACATTTACAATGAAAGGGGCCACGGTGGAATTAACTTTGATGGTGTTGAGTGACAAGCATCACTCATGAAATAGATTTGGCCAGGATAGCAGCAATTGGCTCTACTCTTTTTCAAATCCCAACTGACCTTTCCTTGTCAACCCACATTACTGAAGTAACAGATGATAATGCTTGTTAAAATTGGTAAATGTTACCTTGACAAGTGAGATTTTGAGAATCAAGCTTGGAAAAACCCAAAGCTTCCAATCTTGTTCAGTCCCACCCGTATTCAAATGAGTGACAACTGCAGAACTAGCTTAATAAAGAAATAATACCTTGTACACCGCTTCCATGAAACGTAAATCAGATTTTCCAAATAATTCTATATCCATGGATGCTATTTTCTCTGTTATAGGTATACTGTACTGTGTAAAGGCATAGTGATATATTGGTAGAAATGCTGTGGGTACACCTTTAGACAAACTGTCAAATAAAAACATTCATTTTAAAAATATTCTATTCTCTGATCGTCAATTCAAGGATTTTTAATTGTTTGCCAACTAAAACATTGTTCAAGTTGAATATCAGTTCAAAAATGTTTCAGTGTCATTCATTATTTATAAAGATATGCTGATATGATCAAAACAAGCCAGCATTATCTATTATCTTTGCTTGAATCTTCTGATGTGCTTCTTTTTAAGTTACGGTTGGGAAAATCAAATTGTGAATGTGTAATACTCAGAGGTACTTTATCATAGGCCTACCAAATTCTTCAATATACAGAATGAAAATAATAATAATAAAAACTTACTTTGTGACATCAATATGCTCTGTATATTTAATTTGTCTAACTTCAGATTGCAACTTCCGCAGGTTATTCTTGATATCCCCAGTGGTCATCTTCAACACTAAAGGATTAAAAATAGGCAAGATATTATTTTGTGGGTTTGTTTAGCGTCGATCTGGACCATGTCACTGTTAAAAAAAATTTACCAGTGCATAGATCTCACATGTCAACATGAACTTTCGTCATGACAACTCTCACAAAATGTATCTGACTACAGTTTTAATCCTAATCCTATGGCCATCAAACGTTGATATGCTTTTCCAATGATGAGGTGTAACAATCAGTAGAAAATCGATTTTTGAATTTCGCCATTATTTCAAAATGGAACCTCTCTGAACTTGAAAATATTTCAGAAGTTTCAGTGGATTACAATCAAATTTCACAGGAATATATAGTAATAATAATAGTGTAAGTGCTACAACTTTTGTCAGAACCATTTCAGTCCCTAGATTAGGGATATCTCATCTCTTGATCCCTCGTGCCACGAAAGTAGGAATAATACTTACTCAGCTATATATGTGGGGTATTAGGCCTACTTATTTCAGCGGATGTCAAACCTCAAAATTTTCAGTTATCTACACTGTTCTAAGTCAAAGTGCTAACACATTTTAAACTTATATATCTACATCTAGTGCATTTATTTTATGCAAAATCTTTTTTATTACAGTAGGCCTATCCATTTTACAAGATTTCCAAAAATTCAACGCTGACAATCATGAAACAGGAACCATGATTGGCATGAAACCTGGAGGATACCTGTGAACCATAGACCCCTGGCACCTTTGACTAGTAGTACAGCCTACCACCGCAGCTCTAGACTGAAGATTTAGAGAGAACTCTCTTAATACGGTACCGTAAGCTTACCTACCGGTATCTTATTTATTGTGCAATGTGATGTCGGTTAGATCTGGTTAGGTTTTGAATGTTTGAAGTACAGTCATAAACCAAATCCAAACCATGATGAATCACCAGGTGATGGAAACGGCCTTTTCCTTTTGCTGCTAGGTCAACTTTCGGATTGGTCGACTCTTGAATTGAAAGATTCAGAACAGACGTTATTCATTTCTTTGAATTTCAAAAATAAAATTTAATACTACCTCAGTTAGGTTCCGTCAACAACTAATATTGTCTTGGTTGATTTTTGCAGAAAAAGATGACCCCACCACGTGTTGTCAACTCTTCATGGAAAGATATTTTGACATAAATTATTGATCGAATATTTTGTATATGGCGCAGCTACGATAAATGTGTCGCCACCTATATCCAGTATGTCACGTGATATAGTTTTTATAGGTCAAAGGACGTTCATAATCGGAACTTTCGTAAGTTTCATGGCTTTTCATCGGAGATTTCAAGTTTGGTACATTTGTATGGTGATGGTTAATTAAATAATAAAGATTAGAAATTTATGGTGTAGCATTTTGTATAAATTAACGACCAAATCCAGTAACACCCTGCCCTCAGCAGTTGGCCTAAATGATTGTTAGTAATACCTCTTTGAAACAGATTGCTGAATAGTAATCGCTAGGCCTTGTCCAAGTGTTTATGTGCTTGAGATGAAGAAGACCTTAATTTGAAAAGTCGTGTGGACATTCTAGAGACTAAAGTTATTATCGGATTAACTTGTGTCACCCTTGATCAAATTGAAAAATTGTTTTGTCCCCCTACAGGCTACAGTTATATAAAAAGTAATCACCCAAGAAGCCTATCAGATTTTAATTATTTCTGACAATTTTTTCATGGGTGGTCACCCTTCATCACGTTTTAGCATCAGCCACACTGTTGGCTTCTTTGCTATTATTAAAAGTAATTTTATAACAAATCCCAAACAATGTAAAATCCACTTTGTTATTTTTTTTTATGGTCACATGTAAAAAGCTAGAAAGGAGAATTTTGCTTTGACATCAGCATTTGGAATACACATCATAATTCATATCCTCTTCAAATTACACTGTCAAGAGTTCTATTAAATGCACATCAATATCTTCATGGTGGACCTGAGCATTGGGGTCTTCTCTGCCACACTGAGAATGGACACTTAATTCTTTTCTAGAGCTAATAAGTATACTGACTATCATGGCCATATCAAACCTATGCCTGTTATATAAAGATTAGGGATTCTAGAGGATCTTATGGATAATTTGTGACCCATCATCCAGTGTAAACATGTATGCCACCAGTAATAAATTCTCAAAAATTCCTGTTCCACCCAGAAAGATAAAGATAAAATAAAGTCATAATATATAAATAAAGGATTTTAATTTTTCAATATTAAAACACAAGTGGTTACAAGACAAAACATAACAGGTCTATTGGTTGGTCGCTATTATAATTTCAAGGAAAAATATTCCTATAATAACAAAGAGATGCATACTTTTATTTTAAATTAATATGTTGATTATTTAAAGATACGTTCCCGCGTACAAACTGGGTGATTTGATTATGTGTTTGGACTAAAAACATATTCAAACTAATTAATCTATCAAAATCTTGCTTCAAATCCTTCTCAAAACACGGTTTACGCGAGGGAATACCCATCCCCCGCTATAAAAAATCTGTTAAAAGAGGCCATGTTCGTGTCAAGTGACTTCGCTGAAGAACTACCTAGCAACGGGTGCGAAGTTGGAGGAGAATTCATTGCATACACAAGACGATGTTGTCTTTAATCGCTATCCATTTATCATAAATATCGAAGCCTTATTAAATTCTCAAATTATCCACTGCCCACGTCTTTTCCGTGATTTTTATCTCAGAAAGTGTTGTACATCTAACTCTTCATAAAGTATTTTTCTAGTAAGATTGGATATTTCTACTTTCCATATATACCAAAATTGCCATACTTTTATTGGAAATAACCACCCGATAAATACTTTTCTGGGAACGTATCTTTAATAAGAAAGTAAACTAAATTACTGATTTCACATCACGATTTTGTATTATTGTATTTCTGACAAAAAAACACAATTTACACATTCCTTCTCATAAATACAGCACTAATATCGGCTAATACAGCTTCAAGGATTCAATTGTTTAGGTCTACAAGAACCCTCAAGAAAATCAGACTCTCAGACTTTTGTAAATTCTGAAAGATAAACTGGAGACTGAATATATATGTAGCTTTTTTGACAATATTTAATTTCTCACTCACATTCTATTCACACACAACTAAACAGATAAAATTATCCTAAATGTTCATATCTCTGACACTAATTTAAATTTAGCATGTAATGGTGTAGGATATACATTAAAAAATTTCTTTTTTATCACAAGCCCATTTTGAACTGGTGTGTATAGTGGACTGTCTGGATAAGGAGAGATTACTTCACTTGTTATCATTACTATACCATCTCTTAAGGCATGTAATGCATTATCTCTTGTTAATTCAACCTGAAATAAACAGACAAATAGTAATGACTTATATCAGCGGTGGACCTGTATGACATGTGTGAATTCACTTTAAATAGTAAACTGGTACCCTGGGCCACCTGATATAATTATTTCCTCCCATGCTGATGGCCTAGTCTCTCAGTGTACTGGTATTAAAATAAAAAGTGGATAAATTAACAAATAAAATAAAATAGGGTTTAACACCCAACTTTTCTGAACCAACAAGACTAACGAAGACAGGCATATGCCAGGTAATGTGTTATTAGAGAACATTTGCCAAGAGAACAGTGTTTCTGCCTTTCTTTATGAAATTCCAATTGGCAAGGGCTAGTATTAGTAATGAGTTTAAAACTATCCTGCACAAGTAAGATAATAAAAATGATAAGGAATTAAGAAGGTTGAGGGTTTCTTGTAAAGAAATGATGTCAAAATTTTGTTAAAATATATTATTTAGTACTGTACTATAAATATAATTATATGATACAAATGACAAATACTATATTTACATTTTCTCCAGGATAGAATCTTAATCCACGTTGAGTAGCCAATATTTCACCAGCATGTACAAATGAGCCATCATTATGTTTCCATCCTCTATGTTTAGGAAGAGTTCGTCGTTTCTTATTTCTTACAGCCCCACCTGCTTTTTTAGAAGCACACCTCACTTGTTCTGTTGGGGAAGCTATACCAAGAAAACCTACAAAAACAGAAATCTTCTTTATTGGGCTGTTTTGTTCATAAAGAAATAGAAATTACATGAAATATGATTTAAAATACCACTTTTCTGCACCAGAGGCATGATAGTCAAACGGTAAGGGAACAGGACTCTACTAAGATTAGTAAGAAGAGGGTAAAAATAAGGTACCAAATAACTTCTCTGCAATTTTCTGTCACACTGTATGAAAGACCCTGGCAATGAAATCATAGTATATAGAATAGATATAACTATATTTCTGTCAAAATCACCTAATTCAAGTGTCAACGCAAGATCCCCCTTTTAACTTTTATCACATATATTGATGCATTTAATAATTATAACTCTGTGGAATGTGCTCCTTTTTTTTTTTTACCTTGCTGCAAGGTAAAAATAAAAAACACATTCAACAGAGTTATAATTATTAAAATAATTATAACACTGTGCCTGTTGAATGTGCTTTTTAAATGCATCAATAAGTGATAAAAGGGGGATAACTCTTAAATTCCAGATTACAAAAAGGGAAATACAAGCATCTTGTGTTGCATTCAAAATAATATTCTAAAATAATTAACCCCAGATGAACCGAAGAATAGACCGTAAAGCATCTGCAACCGTCTAAGTGGTATATTTAATATATTATACCTGAGATATTGAGGAAATTTGAAGTTTTTAAACTGAGACCTCGCAGTAAGGAAGCTGACATCTTGAATTTATCTACATACGCTAAGATATGGACTACTTTGAAAATAATCCAAAACATATTTTTGATATCAAAATAAAAGCAACCATTTCCACTAATGAAAATTAATTTCGTTTCATTAATTACTTTATCGTAATTAGAAAATGGTGTTTGCTTTTGTATTCACATATATTTTAAAAATCTGACTCGGTTCTGCGTAGTTATATTTATATAGTTCTATGAGTAAAAAGGTTTGGAGGCAAAATCAAAATATTGACAAGTTGGGAAAGTAAAATGAATAATTTGAATGAATTCATCTCACACGTGTTAGCAGTTTGTCCCGACGCTGAAGAAAAGTCAGTTCGATTGGATTTGAGTTTGACAGGAAGTGTGGAGACGACAATTAACAGAATTTTGGATGGGACGGTAATGACAATGACATTTATTATTATAAAATAATATAAATGTTATTCATCATCATATTCATATTTTAAAGGAGCTAAATCGCTAATATTTTGTACCTAGAAATTGGCACAAATGGGTCGCAACACATATAATAATGTAATATGAATTTATATAAACTGTTTTACATTCCATCGTGTCCGTTTTACTGTGAATTGTCATCAGTTATGTTCGGCGAAATACGCCAGAAGTCTCAACCGCAAATCAGTTTCTAGTGTCTGGTTATTCCAGTCAACATCGATATTATTTATTGTGCATGCTCTCCAAATAAGAACATGATATTACCGTTTGACATGACTTGTGGATTATGTCTAGCCTCATTCTTTGAGCACCTTGTTACAAATGGCGCTGAAACACATTATGGTACACGATTCGCGTGCCAATGGTAAAATGTTTATTTTGTCTTAAATATTGGATATCAGAAGCCCATCTTTTTCCACTAAGATCACAGCATCAATGTTGATTTAAATAGACAAATAATTTGTGTTTTTAATGTTGAAGATTTTGGATGATATTGAGTTAGAGACTTAGCTATTTTAATAGATAATAAATTGATAGACTTATCACTTAAGAAGGACACAGTGACCTCTGCTGTGTAGCTGCCATGATTTATGAATTGAATAACCTATAGGATCTATTATTGGCCTGATTTTGTTTTACTTACCCAGGGTGTCTCCCCCCCCCCCCCCCCCCGGCCCAATAGTGTCTGCACTGTCGGCTATGATTTTTCAGAGCTTAACTACTAAACTAGCCTATGCCACTCTTTAACATTTTTTGACCACAGTTAACTGATGTCATGAACTGCCACTCACCCACCCTTAGAATTTTGATTAAATAGTCATTTTATTTATCTATATATATATTTGTGACTGTCGTCTGTCTGTTCGGGGTTGGCGGCTACACTAGGTCTGCCCCGAGTCTGAAATTTGGGGTATAGGGGTAGCTCGGACCGGGGAGTAACATAGGCCAGGTGGCGTTAGTCTATCACTTCCGGTTTCGGAGTTATGACCCCCGAGCGAAGCCTGTCTGTTCGGGGTTGGCGGCTACATCTGCCCCAAGTCTGAAATTTGGGGTATAGGGGTAGCTCGGACTGGGAAGTAACATAGGCCAGGTGGCGTTAGTCTACCACTTCCAGTTTCTGAGTTATGACCCCCGAGCGAAGCCGGTCTGTTCGGGATTGGCGGCTACACTAGGTCTGACCCGAGTCTGAAATTTGGAGAATAGGGGTAGCTCAGACCTGGGAGTAACATAGGCCAGGTGGCGTTAGTCTACCACTTCTGGTTTCGGAGTTATGACCCCCGAGCGAAGTCTGTCTGTTCGGGATTGGCGGCTACACTAGGTCTGCCCCGAGTCTGAAATTTGGGGTATAGGGGTAGCTCGGACCGTGGAGTAACATAGGCCAGGTGGCGTTAGTCTACCACTTCCGGTTTCAGAGTTATGACCCCCGAGCGAAGCCGGGTATCCTGCTAGTCATTTAATAAATGTCTGTTGTCTAAGGGTTTAGTTTTATTTAACCCCTGACGGTGAATAGAATCGTACACTTGTCAAATGGTTTTATAATGAAGTGTTAAATCTCGGCTTCTTATTTACAGTTATCGCACCATAGATGGTGTCACATACCTGAATCCCTTTCATTAATCATCAAAAAATGTCCATTCATGCTGTATTTTATAAGACACATTTGTTTGACTATTTGTAGGCTAATAGTACACACAATACTGCTAATTGTTCACTTATGCCTGGGCTTGGTCCTAAGATTCAGACCAATAAATGTAAGTGAATGAAAATGTTGAGATTTCTTCCTATTGTAATAATAATTTCTTGAATTTATTTTTTTTTCTAGGCTGTAACGGCTTCTTTGTCTGAGCCTTGTGAGGATTTGAGTACAACAGATATTAACAGCGACAGTTCATTTGAGTCAACCAAAAATATTCTGAAAAAAAATTCTTTAGATTCTAAGCAAGTCATATCCTCTAGAGTGAATGTTTTTCCCAAAGAATCTGTTGTCATATGTGAAGAAAAAAATACTGATATAAATAGTAATAGTGAGGATGAGCTTCTTCCAGAGTTAAATTACAAAAAGAAAACATCAGATACAGTGTTAGTGTTAAATAGAGACAACCAGGACAGCAATGACATAATAGAAATAGATAACATACATTCTACAATATTAAAATTGAATAATAATAATTCAAAATTTGAAACAAATAAAGTTATTCACACTGACATGAATGATAACAGCCCGACATATTGTATGTCTTCTGATGATGAGAATGAAATTAGTATTCATACTTATCCTACTCAAAAACCAAAATATATCAAAACAAACACATGTTATTCTCATGAATCAAGTGACGAGGAGCTTCCTGATATTGACATTGAGATTCCATCTCTTACTGAAAGATGTAAAATGAAATCGCGATCTGTATTAGAAATGATTGATAATAGTTTTGAACCACCGGCAGTAAATAACAGCCCATCATACAGCAGTGTTTATTCTGAGGATAGTGTCTCAACTACATGTACAACTATATCAGACATCACCGATGGTCAAGCTACGAAAAAAAGGAAAAGAACACCTGAAGAAATTGCAGAAAGTAAAAGACATGCAATTGTAATTTAGATTATTATATCTGGGCATTTTATTAGGTTGCAATTACTTTGTATTATATGAAAAAATGCATTGATCAGTGGGTGGTGACTAGAAATTCCTCTAGTTTAGAATTCTGGTGAGATGGTATTCCAACATGTATAGATGACATATCTACATGTACATATACGAATGACAGCACAATGTTTTAGATGTTTTGAGAAAAAGCTTATAAGGGCTTGAATGTTCAATTACATAGATGTCCAGTGGAATAAATGAACACTTTTATATTAATATGTTGATTATCTTGTGTTTTATTGTTTCAGAATAAGAAAGAAGAACGACAGAGATTAAAAGATGAAAAGAAGGCACAAAAAGACAGAGAGGCTCAGATGAGAAAAATAGAATCAGAGAATAAGAAATCCTTTCGACCAGGAGATTGTTTAAAGGTTTTATTAATTGATAAAAAATTAGAGAGTTTGATTGTGTTCTTGACTCAGGGCTTAAGGCATCAGTGCAAACAACTTATTCAGTGGTTTACCATGTTATCTCGAAGTGACCATTTCTCCTACCATAACACTAAAACCTGTTTTGTCATATCCAGAACCTCTTCTAGTAATATAGCCTCATTTTATATTCAATTGATCAATTGGTGAATTTTCAACCAATTAGATATACCGGTAAAGATAACATCAGAGACTAATTTTGGTCGTTAATAACATCTTAAATTTTATAATAATTGTGTTTTATATTAGAAAATAACAGTTAGTATTGATCCAGGTATTATTAATACAAATGGTAATGGTGGACCTATATTTAAAGCTTTTGATGATCTTGGTGTCAAGTGTGAAACAATGCCTCAGTCTATACCAAACTCTGTTATTTGGAAACGAGAAATAATAGAATGTTCACAAGATGATGTAAGTTAAAGCAGCAGCCAGTCTGTGCAAACTGGAAATATTTGCTGTTTTTTTAAAGATACATTATGGAAGATTAGATAAAGAGCTGATAGTTCTCACTATAATAGTTAAATAATAGATAATGTAACTGGAATATTCTGACAATTTCAGTCAAATTACTTCACTCTAAGCCGAGAAATACTCATTTTAAAAACCTTGTAGCCTCGATTGTCATTGTTGCCTTTATGACTAAAATAAAAAAAAGTCTTGATTATCCATTTTTGCGTTTTAATCATCAATGGCTGTTAAACGGTAGATCAGATTCAAATCTAATTATGGTCTTGTCATGTTAATAAATGTCTAATAAATAGTTTATATGACATTGCAGGCCTAAAGAAAGACCTGCTATAGGCAGATTTAGCTCTTGTGTAATATATGTTTAATCATCTTTTAATCATACTAATTTTTGAATAAACATATTAATGTAGAAATTCTAAAAGTTCAACCACTGATAATTACATTATTTTGGTAGACAACCAAGTTAAGAATTAGATGTTTGTAAGATTCAATAAGTTAGTGGATGACTATGATATAGTATGGTTTAATAATAATATTGCTACTTTAAAGTTTTATAAATGAACATTGTCAATACAGTAAAATGCAAAAGTACAACATAAAAGTGGAATAAGTTTTTTTTGCTAGAAATAGTAAGGATATTTATTATGCCTCATGAATAATTCCTGTCACAATTTATATTTACATTGTAAATGGAGTGATAAATTGGACATGGATTTAAAAATAACTTGCCATTTGTAATTTGTGTTTATACATGTAGCCTTTATATTTGATTATGAGTTGAAAGGTAACATCTCAGTACTACAATTTGTAGGATATAATCTGATTCTATCATGAAATAATTGAACAAATGTATGGTAGACCAAATATATCACAGCAAAATGCTCAGATTTGTTGTATTAGTAGTCATTACGTTCATATCATATCATAGTACATGTAATAATTATAAATGATAAATAGAATAACTAAATTATTTTTGCAGGACTACTATTTATTGTTCATATAATGAATATATTTACAGGGTGATAATATTGTTTATGATATATTATAGATGACAGTAAAACATACTACAGAAGAAGATATGTTGATTATGATACCCTTAGAAGATTTTATAGCTATGATAAAAACTTATTCACAGGTAAAAAAATAAAATTAATTATTAATGCCTAATCACCTTTTAGAACTAAAATGGCCATTTGTATTACAAAAGATGATTCGGCCATGAGACCACAGATGACTTGAACTTATTCTGTCCTGACATTAGGTGTTTCTTGTGAATCTGATCCTACCAATTGGAATCTGATAGTTATGCTTAGTTATTAGACTACTGCTTAACAATCCTAACAATCGTTTGCAATCAACAAATGGCTTGTTGGTTGTAGGCTACCACTGTCTATTTTAAGGACACCTATTTAATTTTGATGACATGTGTCTAATAAACATGTGTTCAGTTTTCATATTATTAAATAAATCATATTTATTTTCAGAAACAAAAAGGTGATATGTCATCTGGTGTAACGTTAACTGAGTTTATACAGAGTCTTCAATGTGCTTTTAATAATCATTTATTTACATTTTTTGTTCATGGTGTTGAGAAATATTTCAGGTAATGCTGAATCTATTCAAATGTAATCAAATTGATTATGTGGCATTTTATTAAAAAAGCAAAAAAATCAAAATATCAACGGTAGATAATTTCCCATTGGATTCAATCGGATTAAAAAAGAGGTTATCAGAAGATTTTGGCTAAGATTATAGGTGGCGCTGGCTTGTTTTGACCGTATTCTGTTTATATCGTCTGCTGAAGTTTGGCAAATTCTTGATTCATTGTATAACGGAATTGAACAATTTTTGGACTGATATAATTGTATTCCTTTATAGATTCAACTTTAAACTATTGTATATCAAGTCCCTCTAATGACAATCAGAAACATGAAACAGGGTTGATTGTCTGTACCGTCATACCCTTTAATATTCTAATTACAGATCATAATTTCCAGTATTAGTGATTTAAAATTGATCGTCTATACAGTCATATGCATTATTTTCTAATTATAGACAATTATTTCTAATTTTAGTGATTTAAAACTTATCAAAAAACAGAAACATAAAGAAGCTGTGATGGAAACTGGTACAAGTGATGCCTCACGCTCTAGAAGAAGAAAGATGGCTGTTGATACTATTGTCACTCAACTTGAAATAGAAGAGGTATTAATATATCTATGAAATTAAAAGTAATGTATTCTGATTATCATCCTCTTGGATCAAACCTGGCCTGAGTTGTCAACTATAAGAACCCAATACAAGACAAATCGAGTTTTGGCAAGTGGTACCAGACATTCGGGAATAACAGCGTAATTGTAATTATTTGAAATGAAATGAAATTGGATTTAACGTCCTACTTTTCTACACCAACTTGGCTTATGAAAACAGACAAATGCCGAACTACGACCTACTCTTTTTTTTAATTCCAACTTTCAATGGTACTTTTACGTGCAGGCCAATATGTACACAAGATTTGTTACTTATCCCATTTGAATGACTTGATGCTGTTCCTTGCCATGCACTCCATCCTGCACCACTGACATGGGGGAAACCAGACTGGAAAATCCAGAGGAACTTTCTTGGTCAAAACTGGGATCAAACCCAGGGCCTTCTGGTCAGTGGACCGTACCTCATTCACTGAGCCAGCGTGACCCCCATTATTATTTGAAACAGAAAATGTTTTACATATAAAAATAGCTTTTAGATATTACCACTCATTAGAATCTTTTTAACATAAAGAATTAACATGAACACTTCTGAAGATATAAACTTTATTCTCTGTAGGCAATGGTGGAAACCCAATTATTAACCAGTTGCATGATCAAGTTTATGAACAATAGTCAACAAATTGCAGACCTTATTAGAACATTTACAAAAGCTGTAGCTGAAAAACCTGCCAAGTATGTGGATTTTTACAAATCTAATTGTTAAATATTATATGATGTATTACCTCTCAGTACAAAATATAGCGCAAATCTGAAATTGCCTTATTTTTGATTGGCTGAAATTCATTATCTATGAGACAGTTACAGTAACACCCCTCCAAATTCAAAACATGATGTGTTAATATCCTCAGAGGCAGACCATGTAGCTCTGAGTAGTTAGTATTTAATAAACCGTAAAACCTATTTCTCTCTCACAGTTAAAGTTGTTTGGCCCACTCTACAATCTTGAGGATGTAGGAAATAGATGTGTATGGAGTTAAACTTTTGTATAGGATTTGGACCATTTTTTCATATTTTTAAATATAAGGCATACTCATATAGATGTTGGTTATATTTTAAAGACAGGGCAGATTAGAGAATGTGTTTAATTTTCTGGAAGAAGGAACAGCTGGAGTAAAAGTGGATAAAAATGGTCAGGGTTTATTAAAAGTATTTAAACATCAATTGATGCAGTTTAAAAATCTGGGACCAGACATGGCTGATGCTATATTAGGTGTTTATCAATCACCTAGATCATTATTACAGGTAAATTAAACGTTTTTAAAAGAAAACTTAGTTTCATTGTTTTTAAAGGTGTGTGAAATTTCTGCTGTTTATTTTACAAATTTGTTCCTCTTTTAAATCTTATCGTTTTCATGAAAGACCTAAATATTTTTTGGAAAAGAATCAGAGGTAGTTCAGTGAGTATGGTGCTGACTCACTAACGGGGGGTCCTAGTGTTGGCTGAAAAAGTTCCTTAGGATTTTCCAGCCTTGTGCAGGATGACGGACTAAGCAAGGAAAAGTGTCTGGTTGTTTGGATGGGAAGAAAAACAGATGCCCTGTGTCAGGGTTCTTATTCCCTATTGAAATGAAATGGCCAGAATTTTGTCAAATGAGGTCCCGGTAGGAAATAGTGTAATTATTAGCTCCCATATCCTTTAATATAACCAGACTTCAACAAAAATATATCTTGGTAATTTGTTATAGAGAATGTTTTATTCTGAAGAGGCTAATATAAAAAATACTGATAAATATGTACAATCCATTGGTAGATTGTTGAAAATCCTCTAACAGATGGGGAGCCATGGTGGCTCAGTGAGTAAGATGTTGGCTCTCTAACCTGGGGTCCTGTGTTTGATCCCTGCGTTGGCTGAGAAAGTTCATTGAGATTTTCCAGCATGGTTCCTCCTTATCAGTAGTGCAGGACCGAAGGCCTGGCAAGGAACATCGTATAGTCATTCGGATGGTATGGAAAACCGAGGTCCCATGTACGCATTTGAATTTGATATTAAGAGTAGACTGTAGTGACGCTGTCTGAGCAAAATTTCACTCATAACACACTGCATGACTTATGCCCATCTTCATTAGCCCAGTCGGAGCCAAACAATGTGACGTTAAACCCATTTCATTTTCCACTAAAAGATGTATCCTTATATTTGTTGTTTATTTCAAGGCGTATGCTAAGTGTCAGACAGAAAAGGAAAGAGAAAGATTATTAGAAAATATAATGGTAAGTATGATGTACAGTTTAAATCTCATAAAAACATAGATCCTATTTACTTTCATTTTTTCTTCGTCAAATTGTATCTTTTTAAAAATAAACCATGTTCTGTTTGATGAAAAAGATAAACAAATTAAATAGTCTGTTCAATCATGATTTATGCGAGGTGTGTACATAATTCTGAGAGATACTTCAAGAAGGTCAATAAAAACTGGATATACTGAATGATTATATAGATAGTCAACATCTTTACCCCCCATCATCACTAGTCACATCTACAGTACATGTGGTGGAAAGTGGAAGTGATCAAAAATTGGAGGGGGGGGGGCATGTTGATGTGCGTGCATGATAAAAATCTATATTTGATACAGGATGGGTAAATAAAAGACTTGTCTATTTTGTTAATATTACTCAGATTAACTATAATATATAGTTTCAAGAATGTCTTTCTGTATAACAAACTAACTTCGCAGTTGCCAGCGGGTCCCGCTATGAGCTTTACTACACTCTAGTCTCTATGACCAGTCAAAATTGGGCATTTCGAATTGGCTGACGATGGTAATGTCTATTATAAATGTATTTTTGTATTGTTCAGGTGAGAAGAGGAGGTGGTGTTCTAGCTACCAATAGAAGAGTTGGTAAAGAAATGTCAAGAAGAATATTTTTATTTTTAACCTGTAGAGATCCAAACTTTGTTATAAAATGAAATTCATCATACTACATCAACTTATTTAATATTAGATAGAATAAGAAATTTTAATAGCAATTTAATTTGTATATAATTCATTTATAATTTTTATATGGATAACAGCTATATTTGTTAATGCATAATGAATAGTCCATTTTAATTAATCCATTTTGTTATTTTCATATACAATAAAAAAGGATACTCAAAATTTATTTGTATTTATCTGTGTTGTACAAATGGGAGCCACAGTAGCTCAGTGAGTAAGGTGTTGGTTTGCTAACCAAAAAGGGCCTAGACTTGATACTGGCGTTGGCTGAAAAAGTTCCTTATGAGTTTCCCGCCAGGTTTCCCCCTTGTCAGTTTTGTAGGATAGGTGGCCTGGTAAAACCAATCAGATGGAATGAAATATCGAGGTTCACTTACCGGGGTTGTACAGAGGTTTGACAACTGATCGTTTAGATTAAAGTGCTAGTGTCCATAATTTTGCTAACTAGAATGCCTTTGGTTGGTTTGCAACATTGTTACTTGTCATAACAATTTCTTCTTCCTTGTCTTTTCTACACTAGGATCTGGAAGAGTTGTTACAGCAAGTGACGGATTAGTCAATGAAACGGTCTGTTACAGCAAATTCTTGGCGTGCTGTGCATGGAACTGTGGGTATTCGACTAGAAACATCAACGCTGATTAGTTAATCAAATGTCTGATGTCATAGGTTCAATAGCTGCTTGTATGACCCCTGACGCTACCTTCCACTAAAACTGGTCAGATCATCGTGGAGTAGAAACCATCAAAAGTATAAAAAAAACAAAACGAAATATAGATCTGTTTTTTAATCAGATTGCACCTGACTGTTTGAAAAATCGCTGTGGAGCCTCGTTCAAATATATCACCGTTACAACCTGATGATGGTTGAGGTTGAATTTCATGAAAACCAACCAGAACTTCGCAACAAAATGGGTGTTCCTTGTATGCAAATAGTGTTAAAATATGGAATTTCGATATTGATGGAACTTAAAATATTTGTTTATATATCAAAGATCTTGGCTCCTTTTGATATTCATGAATATTGGATCAAAACTTCATGGATTATGGTCCCTGATTGTCCGAAATATCATGTTTTTAGCTTGTGTACTAGAAGTAACAATTTAAAATGGAACTTAAAATATTTTGTTTATATCCCAAAGATCTTGGTTCATTTTGATATTCATGAATATTAGATCAAAACTTCATGGATTATGGTCCCTGATTGTCCGAAATATCATGTTTTTAGCTTGTGCACTAGAAGTCCCAATTTAAAATTGTCAATTTTTATCTGATTTTGATGAAACTTACAACATATTCATGAATATTAGATCAAAACTTCATGGATTATGGTCCCTGATTGTCCGAAATATCATGTTTTTAGCTTGTGCACTAGAAGTAACAATTTAAAATGGAACTTAAAATATTTAGTTTATATCCCAAAGATCTTGGTTCATTTTGATATTCATGAATATTAGATCAAAACTTCATGGATTATGGTCCCTGATTGTCCGAAATATCATGTTTTTAGCTTGTGCACTAGAAGTCCCAATTTAAAATTGTCAATTTTTATCTGATTTTGATGAAACTTAAAACATATTTTTATATCCCAGAGATCTTGGTTCCTTTTGATATTGTCCCTTGTTGAACCGTAACAACCTGAATTATAGCCCCTGATTGTGCAAAAAAAATGGCTTTTTTAGTTTGTTCTCTGTCCATCTCTTGCAAAATGTGGGCGTATTTTGCATGGCAACCGCTTGTTTCTTTTGATATAAATAGTGTATACGATTGACTTTCTTTATATGATTTTATTTATTTCACATTATTTCATAATATGTAGGGGAGAGCGGGGATGGTTCGGACGGTGGGATGGTCCGGACACCCCCCATAGCTTTAATCTTTACAATGCTATCCGTTTTCTGATTGGTTATTATAATACTAAAGATCTCATCTTGTAACATGGAAAACACATGGCAGAGATAAACATTCGAATGTAGATGCAGATAAGCTTTTTTTCTATTTTTGACAAAGTTGATATAAAAAATTGCTAAAGGTAAATGGTTAAATTAATTGGTGTTTAACAAGTTTCTTTTAGGAGTAGGCTATCACCTCTTTCTTCCTTCGCTAATTAATAGAAATACATTGAAAATTTATCATAATGGCAGCTTATATCAGAATTATGGGTTTGGGGTACATTTGGACACTGTCCGGAATTACCCCAGAAGTGTTCGGATCAAACCGTTAAATATTTCCAAGAGTCTGATTTGATAAAAAAAAAAGAATGATGACTGGCAGTTGTGGGGTATAATAGGTTTACTGAAATTATGGGTACTGCTTTACTTCCATTAAATCAAATTCTATCAATTCTTCCGAAACCCTTATCCAGTAGCAACAAGGGGATGAGTTATTACTACAAATTTGGTCCGTCATTTGCAGGAATAAACATTCATTATCTTTTTCAATGTAAATTTCGGATTGATGTTATACCTAGAGAATAGCAAGAAACTTTAAAGCTTTAGAATTATCAGTTAATTCCTTTTTGAATACGTTCATTTATTTTCGTCCATCTATGTTAAAAATATGCCACAGTTAGATGACTTCAGCTTTAAATTTATCACTACTGTGTTAATTTTATTGTTAAAGGAACTTTTTGAAGAAATAGAACTAAACTGTGAAAGTAATCTTTTCAGTTTGCTTTTGTCCAATCGTCCTCCACTTGTCCAAAGTATCCCCCCAGGGGTGACTGGTGTCTCCCTGCTAATGGGGTAAATCCTGCATTTTACTAACCCCCCAAAAATTGGTCCAACACAAAGACTTTTATAGCTACACAGCTGTATCACTGATTGAATATAGCCAATAAGGTAAAGACTATTTTCCATTCTTAAGTTCGGAGACAAGTGCATTAGTAGTTGCACAAATGTGAAAAAACCCAAAAGTGTCCGAACCATCCCCGCTCTCCCCTACATATAGCAGATTTGTTAAATTTATATTTCATATTCTCTGTATGAGGAGAGGGGTGATATAGGCTAGGCCTGTTCTCTGATCCCATTTCATCCAATTGAAACAAAAGATTGTTCACATAAAAAATTATTTTTTGTCACATACCAGTACATGTATATATAGGCCAAAGCTAATAATTAATTATCATATGAAACTTCATGATGTCTTTTTTATTTACATTTTTTTCTTTCAAAAAGATAAAATTGAAAATGTACGTTTTGAATTACACTGAAGTTGGAATAAAATCAAATTAAAAAAGTTAGTACCATAGTACAACTTATTTTAGTCACTTTAACTTTAAATAAAATGAACAGATAATCGCCACTTTAAATTATATAATGGGGAGGTCACTCTCGTAGAATTAGGTACAGGGGGCGTTGAGTCTGTTGTTTGTGACAGCAACGGTGATTGGTATAACTTTACGATTTGTCCAATCAAAGAACGGGACACAAATTTTTCCGTCAAAAAATTGTATACAAAACATGGCGGTAATGTTTAACATTTATTTTCTTTTTGGGAATATCTAACACATAATTTAGCGTTATTTTGAACAAATGACCACTTAAGCTCCACCAATCGGAAAAATCTACAGCGTACAATCTCCAGTTCAAATAAAATCGCCCTCATTCACCCCCAACAGGTATAACTGGACCCATTTTTGCATGGTCAATTGAACTACCAAAACGGAAACATGTTGTGACGCATTCTTTAAAATCTCGACATCTGCTAGTTTATTGTCATGATAAGTCATAATGAGTTTGTGATTAACATTTATGTGAACTAGAGATAGAGCCATTTGCGTTTGACATTACAATTTGGCAAGAGTAGGCCACATTAGAATTTGTTCTTCAGTGAGTAAAAAAACCAAAAGACTGCACTCTGCAGGGACAGGGTAAGGCATTATTAATATAGGCCCTATATTAGGCTATAAAAGATTAGCCTATAGTAGTCTGCTGCTCGAGTTTTTGACTACCAGTACTATTGCTATTATTTTTTTTGTGCGTTGGTGAGCGAACCCTCTGTATTTTTCGGGGAGCCACGGTGGCTAGGTGGTTAAGACACTGGCTCGCTAGCCTGGAGGTCGGGTGTTCGATCCCTGCATAGGCCGAGAAAGTTCATCTGGATTTTCCGACGTGGTTTCCCCTTGTCAGTGGTGCAGAACGGAGGGCCTGACAAGGACAGCTGTCTAGTCCTTCGGATGAAACGAAAAACCGAGGTATACATTGGATTGCACGTAAAAGATCCCTTGGCAGTTGGAATTCGATATAAGAGTAGGCAATAGTGCCGCTGCCCGGGCAAAATTTCCCTCATAGCACACTGTATGGCGGATGCCCGTCTTCATTTTTAATTATGACAACATATTGATGATTTTGTTGAGTTTCTGACAACTATTGCTATTATTTTCGAAAGACTATATTGGCATTTTGATAATTATGCCTCCGGCACCATATTGATGATCTAATATTACAAGAACTTCACAAGTTTCGGGCTTCAGTTTCCATCGTTACTAAAGATACACTCATCGATTATTTAATTAGTTAAAAGTAGTCTTTTTTAAAATATGCTGTCATTTTGTTCAACACCAAAGCCATTTTTACAATTTTGAGATTATTGAAGGCCATTTTTTAGAATCTGTTGAAAACCTAAATAAACTTCAATAATGCAATGAAGCCATACAGTTGAATCGACTCTTGGTTCAAATCTTTAAAAATATTTTGTGAATTGTTGTATACTGACAGACTTGGAAAAGAAGAGCCTATCTATCTCCCTAAAACGTATGCTACGCTATTCAGGGATTCTGCTCACATGTGGTCTACTTGACAATTCCATTCTCTTCCTCCATGTGTGACGATATCCACAAAGTCAATGCGTAATTCATTTACCGTATATGTCGATACTCTTTTCCCGCAGAAGCCCGGTTTCCGTCATATAGGTCTTCTCCGTTTGACATACATGTAATACATGATGTATGGATGAAGGTAAAACACAAATACACATTTCGAAACTTTTTTTGTAAGAAACCATCTCTCCGCAATGCAGAGTGACATCGTCTGTCGTCTGCTGAATATACTCGCGCGGTCATGAATTTTGAGCCCCTGATCCCAAGTATAAGTGTCAGATCATTTCTAACAATTATTTGCTCTTAGTGTTACTGTTAAATTAATCATACTAAACCAGTGTTTTGATTTGTATTTTAAGAGCAATTAATTTTGATGTCCAAATTTTAAGACCATGCTGATAAATACTTCAAACAGTATTTGATTACCGAGTAAAGGTAATGTTTACATTTGTAACTCACTGACACCTCTATGGATATCATCTTATTTTAAAGCAATCTAATTGAGAGTATATTATACATCTTTTTTTCATTTTGTCATAATTGTTCTGATTTTCTATTCTTCAAGATTTAACATCATAGCAGCTGTTATTTCGACCTTTCAAGTCCTTCATGATGCGCTTGACTTAATTAGTGAATTTAAACTTACAGATATAACTGAATTAGTGGCATGATTGGAACTGCAGCATTCATTCATTAGAACACAACACCATACCAGTATACATCCAAAAAAAAAGTTGAAACTCGTCTGATTTTAAACAGATTGGTTTAGTGTACCGTAAAATTCAATTATTTTGCTCAACATTTGTATATATTCCAGACAATGCCAACAATGGTTCCTTTAGAACGACTTTCAGAATGTGACAAAGGTAAGTTGATTTGTGAGAAATTACATCAAACAAAATTTGAAGATCAGTTTTTGTGTTTACAAATTTGGCAAGTTTTACAATTTCAAAAACTGTATTTATACTACTTATTATACCACAAACCTATACTAGACCAGAACATATATCCCATAAAAAAAGAAATAGGATAGGATTAGATTGACAATTTTTATTTTTTTAAAAAATTTCAAATCATTTCTGAAGGTCTGAAAATATGTAGCCATTACTGAATAAAACAAAAAAAAAAGACTTTTGTGAAAATGTAAATGATTTTACACTCTAGTTGGATTTATTTTTTTTGTTTCTTACTTCAAAAGAAGACAAGAAACTTTTTTTTTTACCAACTTTTCTTATATGCACAAGCTTAATGGATTGGTGTTTGGAAATTCCAAGATGTGAGTTGAGGCTTGATATTTTGAATATCTTGCATAAGACAGTGTGGGGCCAACCTTTTATGTTCCCTCAGTCTATGCTGAATATTATTCGTACAACTGCAGGCATTTATATATATTCAAAAGATTAAATTAACACATGTTTACAGAGATAAAAACATTATTTACCCTAATTTAAAGTACATTATAAATGTATTGCATGACGTCTACACATGTAAAATTTATGGCCTTTCATTAGAACTAAAGGTGATTTTTTAATTGTTTTTATTTATAGAATTGGTTTATCTGGCTAATCGCCTTCTAGAACAGTTTTGTATACCAATAAAAGTTGCTAGTGTTGAAGATATAGGAGCATCTGTATTTGTGACATTATATGAAGGCTTGTACGGTGAACAGTTGCCAGGTAAAGATAAAGAATTATCTGATATCTCATTTAAAACTTGTTCTGCTGTAATAGATAAATAGGTTACCTACAACATATATACAGACAGCTTTATGGATAACATTTACTAAGTTTATCAATTGCAATGTTTCAATTAGGTTACTTTTGCAGTCAAGCAATGATATAGGTTACATTGATGTCAGTGACTAGAATCGGCATCATTATACCATGGTTTATAAATGTAGAAATAGTTTTGCTGTGATCAAAAAATAAAAGCAGTCTTCAAGTAATTGAAATTCTGCATATAAAAATATTGCTGTAATCTGTACCATAGGAAAAAGAGAAAGTGTATAAAATCATTAATCAATGTTTAAAGCCCTACGTTTATAGAACAGAAATGCTTAGGTTATGTTATGTCTTTTAAATAGAAATCAAACTATAAAATTACTTACATGCACGATTAATAGTAAATATAAAATATTGTATTGCTAAATGTATTTTGTATGTGAAGTGTACATATTATAATTGTAGTATATTTATTAAATAAGGAGATGAATTAATATAAGCCCTTGGCTTGTTTTTTAATCCTTACTTTTTGACAATGTATGTATTCATGTATGTATGTACAGTATGAACAAATATTGTTTAAATCAAATGAAATAGAAATCAATAATATGTTGTTTGATATGGATGATTGATTATTTCAGGTATTATTAGAGAACCATTTACTAGAGAAGATGAGATACACAATTGTCAAACTGTCATAGATTCACTCTCAAAAGATGTTCTTCATATATCTCTCTCACATATTCGTGGACCTGAAATTATCAGTCACAGTAGAGAAGATGTATCTAATCTTTTAGAAATTTTTGCTGGTCTGTCAGATTATATCTTGACCAGAATAGAAAGTGATAATGAAGGTAAATAAAATATGATGAATTGATGGGTTACAAATAGTAAACGGATTATATAAGCTTATATTTATTATTAAACAAATGTTAATTTTTTTTTATTTTAATCATCCACTCAAATCAATTATAGGTGTATAATTGACTAACCTTGTGCATGTGTTTGAAATAAAGAAATAAAAAAAGATTTTATATTTTGTGGCAGTATTCATAAGATTATGTTAAATTTTTTGGGGGGATTTGGTATTATATTTTAATTCTATATTTTGACAGATACAAGATCGGTTGAAAATGGATTAAATGTTTTGAATGATCCTGACCTTGTTACACCAGAAATAATTGAAGATTTTTTAGATCGAGAACTGTCACGTACTGCACAAAATGGAGGGTAAGTCAATAATTTTAATCCATTTAAATGTTAGACATCATTTTACTCTATGAAGTGTTTTACATACTTCTACTCAATCTGATGAAGTATTTTGAACTTGCTACGATAGTCTGCTCAACTCAAAGTGTTTCAGTAGTTGCAGTAGTTTTAATTTAATTTTAAGATTGAAAATAATTTAATTTATTTAGCTTTAGTTTAAAGTTTTATATTTTTTTGTTCTAAAGATATTCAGTTTCACCATCTACCAAGAAGACAGCAGAATATATTAACAGTCATATACAGACGTCTGGTGGAAAAAGTTAGTCGATTTATTTTTTCTTTTAAAAATATTGTTCTTGATATTATTGCAGGTGAACGATTCCATGGCTTTTGGAAGGAAGTACTACTGCTTGTTGAAAATACTCCTCCCCTTTCCTGTCATGTTACCTTAGAAGAATGGGCCAATATAATTGCAGTTTTCTAGATTAAATAATTGAAGGGATTAGCTAAAACAAAGATGGCCCAAACTATTTTACTCTAATTGCATACCAGTATTATAATAGGTTCAGACATTACTGTTGAAAATGTTCAATATTCTTTTGTCATTTGTAGCTGCACAATATTTTTATTGATTTCTGCAGGTCCAGGTTTAGATTCAACCAGTGAACTTATAAGGGAAGGTGAGAAATGGGAAGAAAAACTTAGACTAAACATGCAAAGGGTAAATATTTTCAAACAGCATTGAAGAAAAATTGAAAGTGTAAAGTTTCTTGTTACTTATCTTAGCTCATTAAAATCTTTGATCATCATTTGAGAAATTTGTAATACAATGTATTGTTGTGAAAGTTTTAAATCTCTAAAAAGAATATCATTATCAGTTCCAACATTCAAAGATATTATTAAATGAATATTTATGGACTTTCAGCATCCCCTGCAGATAAAGTAAATGTGATGTGGTCAAAACAAGCCAGTGCCACATATAATCTTCCCTAAAATGTTTTGATAGGCCTCTCTTTAACCTGGTCGAATCCGAGCAGGGAGATTACCAGTATCTACCATTTTTATTTTGAATTTTTTTCTCAATTAAATGAACCAATTTTAGCAGGCCAAATTTTAAACTGGTATTTATTTTAAATTTGGTTATGTACAAAGCTGCAGTGTGTATTTTTGATATTTTTCAGATATCAGATAATAAAAGTCCAGATGAATTTGACCACATAGGAAAACGGAAGATAAGTCCTGAAAAATCAAAGACAAATGGTCATCAACAAACTGATTCTACGAAAAAAAATGAAAGTAGAAAAACAAACTTAGTTCAGCAACCAACTGGCTCTGATATGGATATACATCATACGTTTACTCATCATCTATATCATTATCATAAACCTCAAGTAGCAGATATATCAAATGGTAAGTTATCATCATCCACTATATTTATCTCATCTGATCAAGTGTTGTCATCTATCTCAGTTCCACCATTTCCATTTCTTGTGAAAGGTTTTTAAACGAAGGAAATGGGGGAATTGAGCCGCCATAATTATTCTGCTGACTTTTAATTATTGGCTTTTTTTCTGCAGTTTTCCTTTCTCTGTCCATTCTTTGGGGACTCTTTATAAACATGAACTGAATAATAACTGAATGTTAAAATCAAACACCTTTCTGAAACTGTCTTCATTAGGCAATTTTATTACCCTAAAACATTTAGTAACTTTGATTAGATTCAGAGGGTGTTGTATTTTAATTTTCATTAGCTTTTATGTTTTATTTCTGCTTTATTTCATTTCTGTTATATTTAGTTCTGTTGTATACTATAAAGCAAGAAATTATTGTATAGATTAATATTATTGACGCTAAAATACCCTTGACCCCAGGTCGCATTTAGTGTACCAAGTTTACCAATAATATTTGAATAGACAGCAGGTTTATCATCTACCTACTAGATTGAGCTGCAGAAATCAAAATCAAAACTATTACTCAGATATGGTAAGCTAAGACTAAGAGTAGCCAGGGCCCTGTTTCACGAAATTTTAACTAAAGATAAAATCCAAATTTTAGTAGATACTTCAATTTTGATTGGCTAAGCACTAAAATCAATCTAATATTATCCAATCAAATTACTAAAATCTGGATTTTATCTTAGTTAAAATTTCGTGATACAGGCCCCAGGTGTGTCTTACACAGGGTAGAGTATGCTTATTTATTTAAGAACACCCATTACCACAAAGCTAACAATTCCTGTCAAATGTTTATTTTTTATGACTGATTATTCACTGTGCTGTATAACATCAGTTAGAGCCATTGATTCCATTTTGAATGTGTCAGGAAAACATGGGTCTTTTACAGTGCTCAATAATTTAATGGCTACTGTAGTTTCTTGCTTTACAGTAGTTTGCATTATTTTTATGCCTGTGTTCATGTTGCCATATTTAGCTGTTTCTAATACTGTTGGTGCTGTAGGAACATCATTAGCTACCCAATATTTAGATTTAGATCATCATCCATCTAGACTTCCTACATCAAAGGTCAAAGGTCCATCATCAAAATTACCATCTAACACAAATAAGTTGCCTACTAAAGGTAGGCAGATCCCGAGACGTCATAATGGTTAGTTGACTTCAGTATATTTTGATAGAAGATATATTTTAAACAGTTGGTCTTCTGTTTTTATGAGCTTTAAGCCGGTCATTACTGCTTATATTCAGGAGTTTGTTAAAAATATTGTCATTGCTTGAGTGATTGTGCATAAATATTAATCACTTATTATTCATTTGTACTTATGTTGCTATGCTTGCAAATTATTACAATTTTATTACTTTACTTATTGTATATGCCATTGCTTCTTCTATTTTTAACTTGTAATTATGATTTAGATAACATCAAAAACTATTAGGTCAGTAATCTAAATTGTTACCATCATCATTTCGATAAATTCTCTTTGTTTGTCATAATGCTTTGACATTGTGAAGTTTATTCTCTCATCATGTATAATTATTTCAATTCTTAGACATTAAATAAGTCTAAAGATTTATTTAAGGGATTTTTAATAGCTTGAAAACTTATGTACAATGGAAGTTGAATCTCTGAAAGGAATATTACAGATTGGTCCAAAAATGATTCAACTGTGTTTAATAATTACCAAGATATGTTGAACTGAAAATATGTTAACATTCAGCTTTCTCAGCAAACGATATAATCTTTACTAAATTCTTTTGATGTTTTTAATTAAATGTTAAATAAACTGAGTATATTTTAGCATGGATTCTGCTGTCAAGAATAAGATATTGTCTAAAAAGTACTTTAATGGCTTTAATCATAATTATCTTAATTCCTAAACAGAATTATCAGGAATTTACATAACTTTGGAATGAGATATTTAATCAGGCATATTATTATTATTCCTAATCCATATTTTGATTGATTTTGTTTTCAATAGATTCGTCCATGTCAGCATCTCTACCAATGAGGTTAAACCCACAGACTCAGGTACCTGATAAATTACGATCTACGATAGATACACCTAACGATTATAGACAACAGCTAGAGGATAGACAGTTTCGACCAGTCTCTAGACAATCCAGGTTAGTAATGTGGAGTTATGCTGGCCTGCTGTTGTCTTAAGTTTTTCCATAGATTCTGGCACAGACTACTTTAGTGATTATATAGATATATTCTGGGGCAATTATTTGGATCTAGATATTAAGTTAGAAATAATATCTCTTAAGACAATTCGGTACTATTTCTGTAACGTACCTCTACCAGTTCCTGTGATCGTAGAGATTTGAAATTTTCAGGGGGTGTTCACGGGGACTAGCCATGACCTCACACGAAATTTCAGCCGTATCGGTCGATAACTTTTTATTTTACCGTAGTTTAGCTTCTATAAGAGATAAATTTATCCGATTTTGACGCCATTTTGTTTGTTGGCTATTTAGGCTCGAATGACGTCATATGTGGATTGTGGGTTAGGATAAGGGTTAGGGTAAGGGCTAGGACCTGTAGATTTCGTCAGTCTCAAGATGTAGACAGGGCTAACCCTAACCCTGTCTTGTTATTTGAGTCTAAATAGCCAACAAACAAAATGGTGTCAAAATCTGATAAACTTTCTCGTTATAAGCTAAATTACGGTAAAATAAAAAGTTATTGGCAGATTCGGCTGAAATTTGGTGTGAGGTCATGGCTAGGCCCCATGAATGCCCCCTGAAAATTTCAAGTCGCTATGATCATGGGAACTGGTAGAGGTACGTTACTGAAATAGTACCGACAATTCATCCACCCAGCTTGTATGTTTTCTTTGATTTTTTAATTTTTGGAACAGGGACTGGCCCCCAAGCATTACTCATCTTGTTGTTCTTCGCCAATTAAATTAGATTTAAATGAAACTTGGTGTGCTTATTCCTTCGACTAATTTCAATTTTGGATATGTCAATTCCAAGATGGCGGAAATGATGTCATAATCAGTTCCTGTTCCAAAGAGTCCTGCTCAAGTTTGTAGTAAAAAAGATTACATTGTAGGTCTATGCTTATATTAGAATTTATTTATCATAGAGTTATCTATATTATTTTAGGGAATCACCTGTTCAGCCTCTACCAGCTAAAGGATTAGCTTCGTCGTATGATAATTTACAGAACCTAGTACAGTCAACAGCAACATTAGCTAGAACAGCCGTTAAAACAAGTCCTATTAGATCACAAGCTGATACATCTTATTTCCTTACTCCCCCTAGATCTCGGTAAATTTACTATATTTATGGCCGTGGTTTTGGTATGTTTGTGTTATGAAATCTTGCTGTCAGTTTGATAGAATGACAGAAACTGGTCTACTGTAAAGCAAAACATTAAATGTATGTGAAGAAAGTCAAAACCATAAACCTTATTGTCAAATTACTGTACAATAATATATAATGCACTGTATGTTAAAATTGATGGATAGCTGTTGGCTACGTGAACCTACCACAGAAATCTTACTCACAAATGAGCTCAGTTACAAGTGGTATGAGATGTTCAGCTTAGCTTCACCTTGTCAATGGTGCAGGATGGAATACCTGGCCAGTGTTTAGTCGTTTGGATGTGATGAAAACAATGAGTTCCTGTGTACAAGTTGGCATTTTTATGTAAAGAAATCTTTGACAGTTGGAATTGAATGAAGCAATAAAGCCCTCCAAAGTTTTAAATGTTTAGTAGCACAAGTGTATAGATGGGTTGTGTGTAATGTCAAAGCCTTTTCAAAAATACTTTGAAAGGATATTTTCACTTTTATTGTTCTGTCAAATATTATTTGTTTAATTGATAATCCTATCTTTATAGACCTTTGAGAACTAAATCTCCGGTACTGGAAGATAGAAACTTGGCTAGTGAAATCAACAAGACCAGAACAACCAGAAATTTACCAGATTCTAATATGAGTGCCAACAGCTCTAATGATGTAAGTATGATACATAAAGTAATTGTTGTGTTTAGGGTCAAACTTGGGATTAGTCTTTAGAAAATGAGGAAGACGGCATAACATCTAAATCACTGATTGTTTGTTGTATGGATATTTAAAGGAATTATTAGATAAAGGTTCTTTTAACCTCAAATGTTTTGATCAAATGGTTTTGTTGCTGTTGAGCAGCGATTTTTGAATATCTGTTTTTTGGATAGATAATACAACAAATGTCTAACTAAATCACTAAGTATTGTATTGATGAAATAAAAGAAACCAGTTCATTACAAAATCACTAAGTATTGTCTTGATGACATAAAATTACCCAGTTCATTACAAAATCACTAAGTATTGTCTTGATGTCATAGAATAAACCAGTTCATTACAAAATCACTGAGTATTGTCTTGATGACATAGAATAAACCAGTTCATTACAAAACTACTAAGTATTGTGTTGATGACATAAAATAACCCAGTTTATTACAAAATCACTAAGTATTGTCTTGATGACATAGAATAAACTAATGCATTAAAAAATAAGTAGATTGTTTTTATGAATGGAACAATAAATTCTGTTTACTTCACGGTTTATATTTTGATATTTAAACAGTCACCAGGTAGAGTAAGAAGAAAAGTTTCGTTCCTTGGAGATAGATCACCATCTACAGATAGCAGTGGACCTTCCTTTAATCAGCGTCATAGCAGAAACAGAGGGTAGGTAACAGAAATAATGTCACTTTCAATATATTCAAATAGCTCATTGTCATCTTCAGTAATTAATCAAATAGCCAAAATATTTTTGGGGAAATTGCTTTATTGGTTACCATGGAAATGGGTAATTTCATTTTTGTGCTTACAATAATTCGTTCTCTAAAAGTGTCAGGCGTGGAAATAACGATTTTACATGTACCTGACAAAATGTCAGGCACTAATGAAATAGTACCTGACATTTTCAACTTAGTGCCGGACATGTATTAATAATATCAATAAAAATAACAAATCAGTGCCGGACAAAATGACAGGCACCAGAGGTTTAGTGCCTGACATTGTCAGTGACAGGTGACTTATTTCCAGGCTTGAAAATTGTATAACCGATCTGTCTGAAACTCACACACATACTTCAGTATAGTTAGTGCCATGCAAAGAAGGATTTTCATTATTCTAAATGAATATTTAGTGTAGTGAATAGACATTTGAAGTTTATCAGTCAAGTAAATATTTTTATAATTAATGTTTCTGGTGATAATATAGCATGACATGTAAGGACCCAAGAACAACAATATATTGATAATTCCACTGTGAAATGTCTTAGAAACGTTTTAAAAGAAGTTCCAAGCTTTTTTTCTTGGATACTTTCCGAGAACAATTCTTTAAGTTTGAAATTAAATTCCGCAAATTCACCCAAAACTGCTGCTTAACCTTATTTTGGCTATTTGAACAGTTCCTGAAATTTTGATGTTGACAGCACTATTAGAAGTAAATTATTTTAAAATGCATATTGTCAAGTAGTGCCTCCCCTTGCCTTAATGACAATTTTGAAACATTTTTATGTGCACACATTGAAATGTAGTCACATCTGTCTTTCAGCCCAGTTTCATGAGATGAAAAAGTGTATTTTCGGGGGGTTGGATGGCCGAATGGTTAGCATGTGCGTGCTGTATCATAAGGCCTGTCATTGAGTCAACTGGTGTGGTTTCTAATCCCTGGTCGTACGTGACAAGGAGTAGGGTTGCCTGTTCAACCTTGTGGGTTTTCTCCGGGTCCTCCGGTTTCCTCCCACTGCTAAAGACCCCTACGTGCAAGCGAATTATTGAAATAAAATTAAACCATATGTTAGTCCCGAAATGACCTAGTTTGTGTCAAGTGGACGTTAAACCCCATTTCTCTCTCTCTCTCGTATTGGTTTTCAACAATTCATTGCTGCTTGATCATTTAGAAAATCTTGTAGACATACTAGATGCTAAAGTTATCTTCTGATTGATTTGAAATTATTTATGCAGAAGCTTGTTGATTTGATAATAATTAAACAGTGTTTGTATTATGTACATCAGACAAAGCTGTGTTTTAATGTTCACTGAATTTTGATTATTATTAATGGAGTTATTGCCCCTGCTAACCTTCTTATCTGTACATCATGGGATATTTCATCTTCTGAGATAAATAGTTATTATTGATAATATATTTTAGAGCTCCTAATGTTAGTCTTGATATGAAGAGAAAAGAAGAAAGATTAGGTACTAAACATCAAGCTGTAAGGAATGGTGTTAAATATGGTAGTTATACAGACATTGGTTACCTTAGCGACAGAGAAATGGATTCTGATACAGCAAGTGATCACTATTTACAACAAAGGTAAAAGGACATAAATATCTGCAATATATTTAGAATCCAAATTGAATGGAAGAAACATCCATAGTAAATGTTTATCAGTCATTCTCGGCCATTATGGCTCTGGAAAAGAAAACTTTTGATCTGCTTCCAAATGAAAATATTCTAATTTTATATTTTAGATTTAATGATATAGTCGATGACGTTTTAAGTACAGATTCAGATCAAGTTCTGATGACTAAAAGAAGGAGAAAACCGACCAACAATCGTCAAGTTCGATTTGAAAAAATCTTAACTAAAACTGGTAAAGGTTGCCTGGCTACAGCTAGACAGCAGTTAAGAGAAAATAAAAAAGTCTTAAGAACTTCTGATGTAAGCTTAGTTGGGTTTTTGTGATGAGAACCTCTATTTTATTATTATGTGTAATAATTTGAATGTGATAGTGAACAGTGTGTTAATATACTTTGTTTAAAAAAATATGTTGCATTACTATGAACCACTTCTGATTTAAAATAGTCTGATAATAATGTGGTAACAGGTCGTGTTTATTGTTTTGGCCATATATAGTCGTCACCTTGTCCATTGATCCGTCCGTCAACAATTGGCTTGTGAACACAATAGAGGCTACATTTTTTTGACAGATGTTTTTCAAAATTTGCGTGAATCATTGTGGCCATGTGAGGACAAACCCTGTCAATATTCAGCCTTGCACGACTTTCTGGTCTGTAGTTATCCCTCTTGACTGAAAATATAGGGGATGCTCGATTGAAAGTACCGGAATTGAATTTTGCTATACCCAAAACTGGTGACAATCGAGTGAAAATGGTAATTTGGGACTAGAACGCATGGGCCAACTGCTTGAGAAAATATCTCAGCCAACCATGACAGTTTAATTACATCATGATTCTACTCACGCCACCTCCATTATTGGGACTGACAGAACTGTAACATGACTGAATTCCGCGTCACATGATTGCAATTCCATCAATTCGGAACGTTCCAGGCTGACAATTGATCATCCCCATTGATAGAGGCTACAGTTTTTTTACGGATATCTTTTTAAAAAAAATATTTCTAGTAATGAAACCTCCCTAAACAAATCTGAACTGAACAGAATGATAGAAATTATTTTGTTTGTTTGGAGATTAGGATAGTAATACAGTAAAATCTTGTTCTAAATAAAGGAATACACAGATAAATCGATTATTTCAGATTTTAAAGAAAATGTATGCTGAAGATTATGAGGATTTTGTTGAAGAAACAGAGTCTGATTTAAAGAAAACCAAAGATCTGGTGAAAGAAAAAGTAGGTATTCTGTATAGACTGCTACGCTTTGACCTATGTTTGTTAAAACAAGTCTCTGTGACTTCACTGGATCTAGGACAGCTGCCTACCTGACAACTGATCCCGGACAATAATTACTTTTTTTGAGAAATGATAAACAACAGTTATTTGGGCAACAAATGTCCATGGGGCAATTGTCTTAGGGGTAATTTTCAAAATGCAATTGTCTTGACTATTCCAGGTGTAGAAAAAGTTTCTAACCTGCTAAACAAATGCTTCACTGTAATGCTGTTGGTACTAGTGTTAACTAATCTTTATACTATTACTAGCTTAATTCCTGGCTTCGCCTGGGGCCCAAGATATGCTTACTAGCCCCTTTCTTGCACACTTTCCCCGCTAGCTTACATCATCCTTTACTATTATTAAACATAATTAGCATTCCGTTAATTGTAGTAAAACAGTCCCACATTGATTTTTGGCTGTGTTAAACTAATAAATGATCTTGACCATCAAAAATCATGGCCCAAAACATTCACAGGGTCAGGTTAATCTGATACCACATATTATGTGGGGTTGAGGTGCGGCAACATAGCGTGATGGGCGAACATACATACATACATACATACATACATCTTTGATTTTATTTATATAGGAACAGGAATACAAGAAGAAAACAGCTAAAAAGACCAGGAAACCATCTGTCTCAGTTAAATCTAATAAAGGTATGTCCAGTATCTAAGATATCTTGGGTATTTTCAAGTGTAATTCATTTTTGCAAACAGAATTTTGTTTAAAGATAAGTACTGCTTATCCATATTTGAATAATTACTTAAAACTGCTGATGGACCCAAGCTTTTCTTAAGCCTTGTAGAATTGGATGGGAAGAGGGTGTTTGAGATAAAATTCTTGGCAACCACATGATCATTTTTAATAACATAACATTTAATTTCACTTCTAGTGATATAGAGTTTGAGTGTGCATAATCTTGGTATTTACAATTCTGTTTGCATGTGTTTTGATTACGAATTGTAACGTGTTTTCATGGTGTATTATTTCAATACATCATAATTGTCATACTCGTTACTAATGCCCAATAATTAAATCTCTTCTATTCCATTCATACATAATTTATTTTATGACAGGTCCAGGAGCTGTTAAAGTACCATTAACAAAACCAGTGAGTACTAAAGTAAGGAAATGTAGTAGTAGCAGTTCTAGTATATTACCTAGAAAAACTATGTGTAAGTATTAATAATCAGGTATTGTTCTAGATATATTATGTCTTACAAAACATAAGAAACATACAAAACATATTTATAAGTATAAATAATCAGGTATTGCTCTAGATATATTATGTCTTACAATACCTAGAAAGACCATTTATAAGTATTGTTCTAGAATGTTGTGTCTTACAATACTTAGGAAGACTATTTATAAGTATAAATAGTTAGGTATTGTGCTAGATATATTTTGTCTTATAATACCTAGAAAGATTATGTGTAAGTATAAATAATCAGGTATTGTTCTGGATAATATATTTTGTCTTTTAATACCTTCAAAGACTATGTGTAAGTATTACTCTTCATTGATTCCCAATTGTCAGTATGTACACAGGTGGAATTTGTGATTTACATAGCATCTAAACAAATAGGAAGCATTGGTGAAGGCTGCTGGGTAAATAACTGGCCCCTGGATCCATTCACATGATTTGATATTTATTTATTTTTTGCAATGTCTATATTTTGTCTTGTCCACAGGTTTATCTTGTAGAATTAGTTTTGCGTGTAGTGCAGTCCTCCTGCACTTACTATTAGGGTCAGAAGCCCATTGGTTTACAGACTACAACAAACTACTATTTTTAAATTTCATTTTTGTCTAGTTTAAGTCATTTCTATCTAGTTCAAGTTATTTTGATCTAGTTCAAGTTATTCCTTTCTAGTTCAAGTCATTTCTATTATTATACAAAGTTCAAGATTTCTGAAATTATTGTTAAAAGTTGCGTCTTTTTTTAACAGTAACTGTACATGATGAAGATGAATTATTACCGCTTTTATTAGAAGAGTTTCCCCACTTACACATGTCACAACACACATGGCATGAACTATGGAGGCGTGGTCTAACACAGATAGAAAATATCACTAAAGCTTATGAAGAAACAAAACGTAGAAAAAGTAAAAGTCAAGTTCAAGTAAGTAGATTGGGAAAAAAAAGAAAACAATTTATATGGAAAACAATCCCTGGTTTATACACATATAGCGCAACATTTCATGTGCTTGATAACGATAAGAGAATACTTGTCGAAATGTGTGTAAACCAGTGATTGTTTTCCATATAAATTGTGTTGTGTGTTTTATTGTGCTCGATTTCTAAATGCCATTGTTTGGGAATAATAACAATTAGAGAAATGAATTGAAATGAGATGTAATGTCCTACTTTTCTGCACCATGATGACGAATATAACGCGATGCAGTGTGCTATGAAGGAATTTCTGCCTACCCTTCATAAATGGGACCTTGATTTTACATCCCATCCAAATGACTAAACACTGTTCCATGCTAGGTTCCCTCCTGCAACATTGACAACACTAAAAATTTCTATGGTATTGTATTTTAAGATCAGAAGAAACAATTTGATGTATCTATTACTTGAATTGTTAATATGAATGCTATTGTGAAAGAAACATGTACCTGTTGACAATTCCCAAAATTGGAAGAATACAAAAATATTAGTTCAAATGGTAAATAATCTTTAGATTTAAATATTGGATAATAGTACATGAATTAGTTATATCTATAACTTAATTAATTGGAATTCTTAAAAGTATGTAGAAAAAAGTATTCTTTAAAATTTTTGTACAAATTATATTTTTACAGGTGGAAGAAGCAGTCAAACGTCATGAAATTGTAACAAGATTAGAAAGGAAGCAAATGGATAGCATGAAGAGAGTGGTATGTATATCTTAGTTGAACCTAAATTAGTCAACATCCCTCATACAGATGGGTGGGTGTGGGGGGTTGGATGGCCAAATGGTTAGCACGTACATGTTGTATCATAAGGTCTGTCATTGAGTCAACTGGCACAGTTTCGATTCCCTGGTTCTATGTGACAAGGAGTAGGGTCACCTGTCCAACCCCGTGGGTTTTCTTTGGGTCTTCCGGTTTCCTCCCACTGCTAAAGACAGCTACGCACAAGCAAATTATTGAAATAAAATTGAACCATGTGTTAGTCCTGTAATGACCTAGTTTATGTTGAGTGGACGTTAAACCCCATTTCTCCCTCTCTCCCCTTATACAGATGAGTTATTGTAGGGTGTGCACATTTTATCTTATGGTTTTCTCAAGGTTCCTTCTACTGTTATGGACCCCTGTGCACAAGTGAATTATTAAAATAATCATAGGGTGCCAGGCAACAAAATATATGCCCATCAGTTGTGATTCAAACAACTCATAAGAAAAACTATTGCTATGTATCTCTTTCATAACCTTTTACTTGAATTATCTAACTGCATGTGATCTATATTACAGCGTGAAGCCAAAGATCAGAAGAAACAACAATTACAGTTTAAAAATAAATTACACGAAAAACGTCAACAATCTGTACGAGCACGGAAATATTATAATGAGTATGCTGTCAGAGCCAGATCTAAATTATTACGTAGAAGAACTAAAGAAGAAATGGTAAGACATAGTTTAAAAAAGGTTTTAAGTTTGAAGTCAAACAAAGTAGATAATCACTTGATTTGAAGAATTGAAACCAAACATAAGAATGAATAAGTTTAAATATTCAAATAAATAATCAAATTGTTGCCTTTTAACTTTTAGTTCTTTCTTCTTTTTAGATATTTAAGAAATTATTTAAAGATGGTTTAGCTATACAGAAAGAAAGAATACAAGATATACGTAAATATTCTCGTGAACAGAGAGATAAACAATGTAGATTACGACAAGATGAACTTGATTCTATGGAAAACTAGTATCCTTTATATTTCGTAACATCACTTGTCAATGATTGTCTTTACTGAATAAATTCCATATTTTTATTCAATTGTCAAATGGTCAAAAATCACTCTGCAATTCTGTGTGCCATTTTGCTCTAAATGCATTTATGATAAAAAAAAATTCTTTTCCCAACCTGGAGAACCTTTTTAAGAGAGTTATTTTTGACTTTAGCAAATTAAGGCGAACATTTTGCAGGTCACCAATTAAATATATTGAATTCGATGACTGACTTTTTATCGAACTATTTAACATTAAATACACATACATTTTGTAATGATAGGTTGTTTCGAGCATCAAGTCTGGAAATAAGGCACCTGTTACAAACATTTTCATACACAAATCCAGGCTTTGTCTGACACAATCTCGTTTGGTCTTGCACAGATTTGTCTTTTTTCGGTGCTTTTATTGATGTACAACCGGCATCATTATTTCAAGACTTGCTTTGAAATTAAATGCATGCATTTGTGATTGGCTGTGGTTGAACAAGTTTAAATACTCAACAGTTTTAATCTTATGGAAATTGGTTATTTTCCAAACTTGGTTAGATGTTGTACCTTTTACTAATTCAAACTTTCAGTCTTCATAATTTTTATGTTTTCTTGGAAAAGAGTTTGTCTTAGTGTTTGGTTTACAAGGGCATAGGATGTCTTCTTGTTGCTATTGTGATTAAAATTCTAACAGCGTTCAATCCATGTATTTATTTCCACCTTAACCAATGATAGTTATCATGATCAGTTTGAAATGTTAGCAGCTAAAGTAACTACAGAAAGAGAGGAATTGTTAATACGAGAAAAGGCTCAACAAAAGGTATGTTCATTATCTCAACAGTTAGCTTATAATTGAGATCAGGGCCATTTGTATAAGTTCATGTCCTACTACCCAGGGTCTTGTAACAAATATATAGATCACAAGATCTTGTGACCCATGAATGTATTTTCGCTCTGTATTTGCTGCTTATAAGTTTTCTCAGAAAAGATTGTCAATAGCACCACTGACAAAGGAAAACAAGGCTGGGAATTTAACACTGGGATGAAACACAGGATAACCTGATTAGTGAGCAAGTGCCATACCCAATCTGCCACCAAGACTCCAATCTTTCAAGTGGTGGAGAGCTCACGATTTGACTACGCATTGTATAGTTAGGATTTTCCAGCGTGGTTTTCCCTTGTTAGTGGTGCAGGACAGAGAGTCTGGCAAGTACCCCTGACAATTGGAATTCAGTTGCTGTCTAGGTAAAATTCCCCACACAGCACACTGCATGGCATATGCCGGTCATTATCAGCCAGGCTAAAGCAGAATGTACGACGATAAACCCCATTTAATTCATTATTTGTTATTAGCTTTCCTTGATTTTACTGATTATCTAACAAATACCACTTTTTCACAGGCATTAGATCAAATGAAGAAAGAACTAAGAAAGAAAATGGAGAAAGAGATTAAAGTCTATCAGGACCAACTATTCCGAGATGATGATGATGCTTACTTCCGTCAACTTGATGCTGACAGATTACGTCAAACTTTACATCTAGCGAAATATCAAACAAGTTTTATGTAATGGGATGTTATTTTTATTTAAACTATGCAAATGTTTAATTAATAATCGTTCATTAAAACATGGATGATATTTTTATGTGATGAGATCATGGCATGTAAATGCTTTTGATTTAATTATACCTGTCAATAAGTTATCTGTAAAATACTTACTACATTAAGTGGACAGTGTACCACGGTGGGAATATGTATTGCTACAAAATAACAAGAGCATCGCTAACGCAGCAATATACGTCCACATTCCTGTTTTGTTTGATATGGTCCAGTTTGCATTGAGGGTCTGTGAAATAAAACTGGGTTGTAGGACTGCTATCAGTTTAACACTTCGTTCACATTAACAGAACACAATTTTTATTTTAAAACAATCGATGTCTTTATTCCAAAAAAATGACGTTTCGAATAGGTATGCAAAGTTTCAAAAGAATCTGTTAAGAATTGCGGTCTGTAGGCAAAACACAAGACACACAAACATTAGGTGTGGCTCTGTCCCAAGGGGTCGAGCATGCACCAAAAATAATAATAGAGGTCGGCCTTAGGATTAAGGAATAAGTATAAAAAGTAGCCTTAGGCTATAAGGAATAAGTATAAAAAAGTTTTCAAGATGATCGATTAAGAAATGCGGTCTGCAAGTGACACACAGACATAAAAAAAGAAAATGGGCGTAGCTCTGCCCCTGGGGGTTGGGTATTCACCACAAATAATAGGGATGTTCCTTAGGATAGAAGGAATATGTATGCTAGGTTTCAAGGTGATACGATAAGAAATGCGATCTGTAAATATAAGGGATGGGCGTGGCTCTGCCCCTGGCGGTCGGGCATGCACCAAAAACAATAGGGATCATCGTTAGGGTATAAGCAATTCATATGAAATTTTTTCAAGACGATTGATTAAGAATTGTGGCCTGTAGGTGACACACAGACATAAAAAGAAAAGGAAATGGGCGTGGCTCTGCCCCTGGAGGTAAAAAAACAATAGGGATCATCGTTAGGGTATAAGCAATTCATATGAAAAAATTTAAAGACGATTGATTAAGAATTGTGGCCTGTAGGCGACACACAGACATAAAAAAGAAAATGGGCGTGGCTTTGCCCCTGGGGGTTGGGCATGCACCCAAAACGATAGGGATGTTCCTTAGGGTACAAAGAATAAGTATGCAAAGTTTCAAGATGATACGTTAAGAAATGTGGCCTGTAGACGACAAACAAACAAATACAAAAAATGGGGGTGGCTCTGCCCCGGGGAGGCGAGCATGCACTAAAAACAATAGGGATCATCCTTAGGGTATAAGGAATAAGTATGTAAAGTTGATACGTTAAGAAATGCGGTCTGTAGATGACAAACAAATAAATAAATATAAGGAATGGGCGTGGTTCTGCCCCTGGGGGTCGGGCATGCACCAAAAACAATAGGGATCATACTTAGGGTATAAGCAATTCATATGAAAATTTTTCAAGACGATTGAATAAGAATTGTGGCCTATAGGCGACACACAGACATAAAAAGAAAAGAAAAAGTTCGTGGCTCTGCCCCTGGGGTCGGGCATGCACCCCAAACGATAGGGATGTTCCTTGGGGTACAAAGAATAAGTATGCATAGTTTCAAGATGATACGTTAAGAAATGCGGTCTGTAGATGACTAACAAATAAATAAATATAAGGAATGGGCGTGGCTCTGCCCCTGGGGGTCGGGCATGCACCAAAAACAATAGGGGTCATACTTAGGGTATAAGGAATAAGTATACCAAGTTTGAAGAAAATCCAGTAAGAATTGCGCCCTGTAGGCGACACAAAGACACACGAAAAGAAAATGGGAAATGGGCGTGGCTCTGCCCCTGGGGGTTGGGCATGTACCCCAAACGATAGGGATGTTCCTTAGGGTACAAAGAATGTGTATGCAAGATTATAAGTTAAGAAATGTGGCCTGTAGACGACAAACAAACAAATACTAGAAATGGGCGTGGCTCTGCCCCTGGGGGTCGGGCATGCACCAAAAACAATAGGGATCTTCCTTGGGGTATAAGGAATAAGTATACCAAGTTTGAAGAAAATCCAGTAAGAATTGCGCCCTGTAGGCGACACAAAGACACACGAAAAGAAAATGGGCGTGGCTCTGCCCCTGGGGGTTGGGCATGCACCCCAAACGATAGGGATGTTCCTTAGGGTACAAAGAATGTGTATGCAAAGTTTCAAGATTATTAGTTAAGAAATGTGGCCTGTAGACGACAAACAAACAAATACTAGAAATGGGCGTGGCTCTGCCCCGGGGGGTCGGGCATGCACCAAAAACAATAGGGATCTTCCTTGGGGTATAAGGAATAAGTATACCAAGTTTGAAGAAAATCCATGAAGAATTGCGCCCTGTAGGCGAACCACAGACACACACACACACACACATACATACATACACACACACACACACACACACAGACAGGGGCGACGGCATAATACGTTCACATTATGAATGTGGACGTATAAAAAGTATATTGCAAGTAATATTGTGATCATTAAAAATGGAGCAAACATTGAACTAGGCTCAAATAGATTCTCATGATAACGATTTTCATGGTCTTGTATATATATAAATTGTCATGTAAAAAGCTAAACTAGTAAATTATTTTTGTGTAATATATGTTAAATTTCATAATAAATTTATTGTAATTGTCATAATTAACTTCCTGCATGTTACTATTTTATCATGGGGTCCACTGCAGCTCAGTCAGCAGATGTTCGTAATATTAAGGAAGACGATTGCTAAGGATATAACAGCTGTATGTGTACATTATTAAGAAAACTGATTGATTTAGATATAATATAACTATATGGGTTTCATAAGCTACTATTTGTAGTCCACTTTAGGTTTCTGCTCATGCTTGCTGTATATAAGAAATAATTTGAGTGTTTATTATCTGTGATATTAATACTGATCTGAATGATCTCTTTATATTAAAAAAGTCACTTTTATTTATTATACATTTATAATCATATGTATAAGAATGTTTACCACATAATACATAAACTTTAGCTACTTTGTACAATTAAAATCGAGAATGTATGATATGCTCCAGTTATGTAAATCATATTTTCTACAATCAATAAAATATATCTAATTCTATGACAAGGATTCTGTCATGTTTTTTTTCTCCAATGATTATATTGTGGGAATAAATTTTATTAGCTGATTATTGCAAAGTTAAGTCTTTAATAAGCTATATATGATTCACACTTGTTTAAGGAATTGACCTTGTAGGTACAGTAGTTTGAATGGAAATTATGAGTGTAAATTACTCATTTTGAAAAAAGAGCTCCAAATTAGGAGTAAAGCAACTCTTCTAACTATAACTACCTAGTTATTCTTAGTGTTTAACGTCCGCTTCCACCGAAAGTGATAGCGCAAAGTTGTCTTATTTTTATTATCTCAGCGTAGTGGTCTTAAGTACCCATGAGGTTGGAAAGGTGCCCCTATCTCCAAGCCATATATGCTCACATCAGGAATCGAAACCACAACTGCAAGCCAGAGGTGACCGGCCAGCTAGAGGTTGAAGTGTGTCACTTTAGACCACTAGACTATCCCAACCCCCCAGTGTTGTAATGAACAGTAGACTCTATATCCCCCCCCTGCGATAGGCTTGGTTGTTCTGTGACATACTCCTGTGTACGAACCAATAATTTGACAAAAAGAACAGTTTACTACATGTTTAAAGCTCACTGCAAATAACCGTAGTAAGTAAAATATGCATATTCTAGCTGCATATAAAAATGAAAAATATGAATATCATTAACAAATAATTTATTTACATAACGGTCTATTCATAATATTGTCAATAACGTTTTCCATTTATAGATCATTGGCAAAAAGTATTCAGATTTACATTGTGTTAAAGAGAGTTTAATGACATGACATCAGAAGTACAAGTATATTATAACCCAGAATACACAAATGTTGTCTTGTGTTCACCTGTCAATAATACAGTTTTGTCTTGAAGTACAAAATGTCTAATTTTGTCTGGTCGTGATTATAATTTGGATTTTCACTGTGGATGTACCAATATTAAATACCAATATCTGGAAAAAGGTTTATCACCACTAGTTTTTCATCATCGACACCATTGTTCATATTTTTCTTGTCCTTATTCAAAGTTTAATTTTAATCTGAGTTTATTTTCCTTTACCCCCTTTTCCCCCCTTCCCTCTATTTTGAAATCCTTTATTTTTCTTTGGAGGTCGACCACCTGCCTTACTTCTTCTGCCCGCTTTATCACCTCTCTTTTTTCTTCCGCCTTCTTTAGAGAATGTTGCACTGAAATGACAATTTATTTTTAGTAATAATATTAGATTACTTAAACGTCAGAAATCAACAATAATTAAATAGCGATTATCACATCAGATGGCTGACTGTGTGCCATATATATACATTTCCAAATAAATAACTCATACTGTATACTGAACATTGTCTTATTGGTATTTAACACATTAAGGTGCATTTTAAACACAACATCTGGCTGTAGTGTATTTTTGATAACGTATGATAAGGATCAGATAGGTTTCCTGATTTTGACTGTGATTTCGATACTATTGATTATTGATAGATATTTCAATGCTGATTATCGATAGTAAAAATCACTATCGATACCCAGCACTAATCATCGGCGACCATACATGACCGTGAATAGTTAAAAATCGGTCACGAATCTGTCGCCAAATTATAAAAGTTGGAGGCCATGGCAGCCGAGGCTGATGGCGGTGTCGAGCCCTGGTTTCCTATCATTTGACACAATTAATTGGTGGGGTTGAATTTATTACGAGTGGCAATGCATGAAGGAGAATATCTTGACTGTGGAAGGTTTTCAAGTGTATACAGAAGATTGGTATGCTTAATGAGATTTTTGAATTCATGTGCAACGAGGGAGATCCTAGGCCCCATATTTTTAGATAACTAATATATGGTCTACTTACTTATCCTCCTCCTGTGACATAAATTGTTGAGCAGCTTTAGCTACATTAACTGGTGGTGCTTGACTTAATGTATGTAATATATGTAACTGTTTAGCTTTTTCTTTCTTCATATCACCAACACATGGTTCAAACTATCAATACATTAAAAATTTACATATTCATTACAAATTCGAAAAATTGTTCGTTCAATCCAAGGGAATAATATTTACATTTTCACTTGAGCTTGTCGCTTTCTATACCTGTAAATGTAATATAATGCAAACACAGGTGTGCAGTTTGGAGACTGTTTGAGTAATGATAATGGCAGAAGAGAGAGAGCGAATTGTTCTTCAATCCAAGGGAATAATATTTACATTTTCATTTGAGCTTGTTGCTTTCTATACCCTTAAGATAATGTAATGCAAACACAGGTGTGCAGTTTGGAGACTGTTTGAGTAATGATAATGGCAGAAGAGAGAAAGAAATGGGGTTTAACCTCCATTTGACACAAACTAGGTCATTTCAGGACTAACATACATGTATGTTCAATTTTATTTCAATAATTCGCTTGTGCGTAGGGGACTATAGAAGTGGGAGGAAACCGGAGCAACCTGGAGAAACCCATGAGGTTGGACAGATAATGGCAGAAAAAAACCATAGGTGTTCTTCAAGCCTTGTTCACAAGAAAACCCAATGTTGGGATCAAACAAAACTCTGAGGTTCTGTGTACATGGTGGCAGTGAATATAAAAGATCTGATCATAGATCATGCAGATGCAAGATGACTGCCACCAAGGTAAAATTCTCACCTTTCATAATACAATACAAAGGTCCAATTCATAGTTTATTAGCAATTTAAACTGTTTAAATCAAAAGTAGCATTACTATCAGATGTAAGAAAGAGTCTGCATACCCTGCCTTGTGTATACATGATTTGTTTGTTATAAGACCATCTAAATAGACTGCTCAGTTAATCTGCAATCAAATCTTAACAAGTTAGAACCATTTTATAATAAAGTCATTAACAATCATACCTTTCTTCTTTTGCCTTTCTCACGTGTTGCTTTTTCTTTAGGTAATTTTTCAGTAAATTTTCCCAGTGAAGCTGTAGATTTTTTTGCCAGGACTAGAGCTTTACTTAACTGATCTTTATTTGGTTTGCTTACAGGTGTCAACCCCACTCCAGGTACTGAAATTAATAATATAACAAAATATGTCTCTTCATCTATGAGCTAGAGCTTATTTGAGCATAAAACTGTAAAGTATTTAAAAATTTAATATTCAAATTTTGCATTCTCTGATTTTCTAATTAATTACTTATTATGATAAAAAAAAGATTTTCCAATGCATCAAGGTATAATACCTTCGCATGAAAATGTTGTGCCATTTCAAATTAATGATATCTGACCCAAATCTTATGTGAAAAACTAAACTAAAACAGAATAAAAGTTCCAACTATGCAAATTTGAAATAGAAGAATTATAATAGCTCACCTTTTCCATATCGAGATCTGGCAATATTTCTTAATCTTTGCAGTTCATTCTTTGCTGTTCTCTCTTTCTTGGCATTGGTTCGCTTGGCAAATGGATCTTCATCTGGATCTAAATTCAAATTACATAACAAATACTTAAAATTACAAACAGAAGTTCAATTTTTATTTTACATCTGTAAACTAATTATGAAAGAGAGAAATGGGGTTTAACATCTACTCCACACAAACTAGGTCATTTTGGGACTAAAATATGATACCATGTTATTCCAATGGTTCCTTGTGCATAGGGGGCTTTAGCAGTGAGAGGACTAGGAGAAAACCCACAAGGTTGGACAGGCGACTCTACTATTTGTCACGTACAAGCTTGGTATCAAAACCACACTACAAAAGATTTTAAGTAAACAAAATTTCAAACAACAAATTTGGATAATAATATTCAAATCATAAATGTGTAAATTTGATAAGTAAGGATTTTACCAGCATTAGATTTAATTTCTATTAACCAATCTTTAGTATCATCATTAGCTCTTCCATATCCCCATCTAGGTCTAAATTCCTAATAAAGAAATTAAATACATGTATGTAATCCAGGAATATATATTTATAACAATAAACTAATATCAGATAGCCAAGTGAAATTTTTGTTCTGCTATTTACCAAGGATATGAATGACACAAAATCGATAGATGAATTACAATTCTCCTTATACAAATACATATTAAAAAGATTATTCAGAGATACACATAGCAAAATCATCATTAGAGCTGCTCTTCTGTTGTATCCCCTTGGCAAAATGTTCGCTTTCAGACGAAGTAATAAAAATTTATATCATACCTTATGCTGTTCATCCCAAACCAATTTATCTTTCTTCTTATTCTGGATACCTTTGACTTTTGCATATTTCTCCCATTTTGTCTCTGGTTTAGGTTTTGGTAACTGATAAAAAAAAAAAAGCAAAAAAATAAATAATGTGTACAAACAATTGTATGTATATTCAATGTGCAGCTGGTTGACTTAATTTGAATGTTTTAAGGTTTGGAAATAATTTCTCAAGAAATTTTATAACAAAACTTTGACCAGTAGAGTGTCTGCAAGGTTTTCATAAAAACATTAACTCAATAACAATCGGCTCTGCCTCCTGACCAGTTGAACAGTCCGTCTCTGATCAGTTGAACAGTCTTATCAAAAAAATAACATTTACCCAAGTTGATTGTTTATGGTTGTTATGTATTTTTATCATAATTATCTTTGTCTTCCTGGTTTATTTAGTTTCAAAGAAATTGTTATTGCAAATTACCACAGACCAAACAAGAAGTTGTGATTACAAGGCTTTGATAACAACAATATTAAATTCAAGGCAAATAAAACTGAAATCAGATAAAACTAAAAAAAAATACATAAATTAGACAGTAAACTTACCCTTTTTTCTCGTGGAAACTGTGTTGATGGATTTGGAAGCTGAAAAAAGAAATATTCATATTATTAGTGAGGCCTATCAATTTATATACCAGCTAAACATTAGGCTGTGGTTAATTAATTGTCTGTTTCTCATGATCTGCCTGATGTCCATTTTCACCGAAATAATTACGCACTTCCCTAATTATTAGGTCAAATTAAGTGAGGACAAAATTTGTCTTGTAAAGTTTGTAAAACTATACTTAGCTTGCTTTTAAATAGAAACAATGAATTGACGCATTAAAATCCACTATTTATTGATAAACATGACATTGTAGGTGATAAGTAAAGTAGGCTAGAATGTGAAAAAATATACAAAGTACACCCATCCATCCGTAACACAGGAAGATTGGAGCTGCAACATTGTTTTCTTTCACCAAAGACCACATGCATACATCGCAAGGTGCTTGTCATTTGTAATAAAACTCACGGAAGATATAAATGTCTTTAAATTCCTGCTAAAATATTTTATTTACGTGACTAGCATTTACACTATGTTTAACAGAGGATTGTGTAGAGTATCTCACTAAAGTTGAAGTGACCAATGGTCCCAAAACTGCTGACATGAAATAGCCTCCATCATGAGATACTGACTGACAAACTGGGTGATTTAATGGTATATATGGACTAAAAACATGTTGTACCTCTAACTCTTCATAAAGTTTATCAACTTGCACATCAAGCGCTCAATGTTCGCGTGTGACCTTTGACATCATGCGTGAAGAGATTCCTAATCGTCGGGCTGTCGATTAGGGGAACCCTTACATTTTTGTCCTGTCTACGCTCCATGAGTGTTTTTCGGGGAATCCAGTATTTTTCTAGTAAGATTGGATATCTCTACTTTCCATATATACCAAAATTACCATACTTTTATTGGAAATAACCACCCGATAAATACTTTTCTGGGAACCCATCTTTAATTAACCACGGCCTTAAGATATACAGAAACTGATTCCACTATAAACTTCGAACAATACAAATGAATATCAAAACTTACCTTGGCTAAAACTATATTTTCAACTTTTTCTACAGGTAACTAAAAAATAAATATATAATTTGTGTAACAAGCTTATGTCACTCAATCTAAAAAACTAAAAAAAATTAAGTTGCTTTGTTGCACAGAGATACACTCTCTTGAACCATTGAATAACCAGAGTGGTATTCAGTGGTCACTGAGTTCTATCTATATATTACATGTACAATATGATTAATAAAATATGTAATAACTTGCATACAACTTACTGTCCAGAGTTTATTAAATAATAACTGTGTATTGTCTCTTGCTAGATTGCTCAAGTATTCATTTCTATTTGATCTGAAAATATAAAGCGTTATTTATTGTAAACCAATCATTTCCCTTACCACTGATTTTACACCAAGATAATGAAATGAAATGGGGTTTAACGTCCTATTGTTCTGCTCCGAACTGGGCTAATGAAGACGGGCATACGCCATACAGTGTGGTATGAGGGGAAATTTTGCCCGGACAGCGGCACTACGGCCTACTCTTTATATCGAATTCCAACTGTCAAGGGATCTTTTACGTGCACGCCAATGTGTACATGGGACCTCGTTTTTTCGCCTCATCTTTATGACTAGACAGCTGAGGGACATCACTGACAAGGGGGAACCACGCCGGGAAATCTGAATGAACTTTCTCGGCCAATACCAAGATAATGAATCTGGTCATATTAATGGTTTGAATGTAATAATATATGGTATCACAACGTTTCGGATACTGGATTGGGACAATTATATATAAATGATGAATAAATAAACACTTGTTTAAAATTTGTGTACATTTAGTATTTAGTTAGTACTTCGTTGTTTTTGTTTTATTATAGCAAATGATCTTGACTGAGTGATCACGGTCGAGATTAGTTCACCAATGTTTTTATCACTAAATAAAGATGCCACATTTATTTACTGTCGGAAACAGAGTTATTATATATATTAGCCTACTGAGTTCGAACCGTCATTTGTGTGGAGTCCCAAGGTTCGCAGGACCGAAACATTGTGACACCCCTCACCATGGTAACGCTTCTGGTTTATCTTTGGACAATTTGATACAGAACAGTATTTTCACACTGTAATCTACAGAACATCAATCATCATTATTTATATTATAAAATTTTATCATAACAAACAAACAAACCCACGTGGAGTCATAGTGATTTAGAACAAAGACAAACAAAAACCTGAATAATTCAACGTCGATAGGATTTGGGTCATATGCCAAGAGGTTTCCGTCATCAATCTCAATATCCACGTCTTTTTGAACTACAATAGTTTTATATTTAGATTCCTTTTCGGCTTCTTCCCGTAAAATATTTTCCACGAGGTCTGCCATGTTGCGGAAGTGACGTCAGAGTTTGTCACACAAATTGTAACTGGTTTCAATATTTATGTTTCAGACCAATCATCGTGGCGCTTACTTGTGTGTATTTTGTAGTATTTTGTCGTGTTTTTCCAGACCTTTTATTGTGCTTCAGAGTTGCTACTTGTTAATCGAGTCTAAAGTGGGCAGTTTACGATTACTTCCTGCCGTGTTATTGCAGGAAAGTTGATTCTACCAGACTACAGTGACTAAAAGCAAGTATGGCTTCAAATTATGATAGGATATAGCTGTACGCCTGTAGTTCTGATGTTTGGACATTTCTGACGGATTAGTCAAAATGTGGAAGAAAGAAAATCTTCGGAAAAACTTTCTGCGAGTAAAACAGTTAGCAGACCAAAATCTTGGAAGGTGGGGCATTTTGACATTCAATTCTTATACTACTATACTATCATGTAAAAAAAATGCGATAGATGATTATTTGAGACATCTTTATTTCTGCATATATTCTCTTTCTATTATTATGCCTAATACAATGTCAGTGTTATTTACATGGTTATGTGGCGTTATGTCAATATTGCGGCAGCTGCCCTAAATATAATTGATTGACTTCAATGTAACATGTCATTATTGGCATTATGTCTGGCTGTCAGTGACAGTGTGGTAAAGTGAGTCATACACATTCATGCTTACAGAATCATGTCAGGTGTCTTCCGTATTGTTCATTGACAAATATAGGATTGAATCAAGGTAGTTATCTTGATAATATAAAGATATAAATATTTATTTATTGCATAATGAAAGCATACACATGTAGTGGTTAAATATCATTCAGTATCCATCATATTATAATTTAAAGTGGCCCTCAACCATTACTACAATTTTCGCTACTGTCAGATATGAGGTTTTGACAGTACAGATCAGACTAGTTTATATTTTGGATTCTAAGCTAAACTTGACTTCACCTACGTACAGACATGGAATAAACACATTTATGTGAGGGATGCCCCGAATTTAAGGAAAATAGAGGAACCCTCACTTATTCTACTTTTTTTCTGATCCTCTCAGCATCTATATGTAGATGCTCAAGAAAGCAGACTTTATGCAGATATCTCCGCTGTCAAATTATAGTGTTTCTCCACCCTGTATAAACATGTAGTAATTTGAAGTTGCTAGTGACTGTTCCCATAGAGTTGTGTTTGTGTTATTTCAATGTATAAATGACTTTTAATGTTTTCGCCCATGAGACGTTTTAGAACTTAATTCAGAGTCAGAATATGCTCTTAATCATTAACCAAATTCCAATAAACACACCACACCTCATGATAAAGATCAATTTCATTAGTGTACCCAGATTTACTATTATTATTATTATGTATGTTTGTCTATAATGTTTACCTACACCAGACACATATAGTTGAAGAAACAGTAGCTAATACTTTCATCAAATTAAACTATTTTGTCATTGCATCACACAGTAGTATTACATGTATGTTCAAAGTAAGACCTTAGTTAAACTCATCTACTGGTAATCATTTATAAAAACAAAAATGTTAACAATTCTAATTTCAATGCTGCTCCTTGCAGATTCTGTACAAAGCTTAGAATAGCTGTAGATTAAGCTTATAAGCTTATATTATTATTATTGTTGTTTATTGTTTGAATATTATTTTTAACTTTCTTGATTTTTCGTGTCAATGTCAATAGACAGCATCAGGGTGTAAATATACACTCTATGCTGGATACAACTGATTAGAAACCTAAGAAAAAGCTAAAGTGTAAAGTTGAAATTATCTCTAAGGTAAATATAACAGAGCAAAGCACACTGTAAGGATCAACATATAGGCCTAACAATTATATACAAGAGTGTTTTCAGCACAGATATAAAATAATGACACCTTTTGTAAACATGACATAATCTGGATCAGCTTAGAACACAAAACTGGTTCAAATTGATGTGTTTGTCACTAGAATCTGTATCACATTATATTATGTTATTCACTGTTATTATTTATTTGTATTAACAGTTAGTAAGTTACAAGCGTAGGCTTGCTTGTAATTTGATTTTTAAAAACCTCTCATGGAGTCGTTGTTTATTTACATAAAATAATTTGTATAGAATTACTGAATTTGTATGGTACATCTAAATGATGAAATGTATGTGTACATGTAGTTGTATACATGTTGACTATATCGTAACTACTGTGTCATTTGGATTTATTGATTTAAACAGTATTTATTATCATATAATTACATACAATATTCAATACATAATAATTATATTGAACTCCACAGTCTTAGTAAAAACCCTCAAATTTTATTTACTTTCCTAACAAATTTGTCAAATTTTGCTGTGACCAGTCTGATTAAAATTAGATAGTAATTAAATTGTTTATTTATTTTTAACTACATTAACATCCATGACATATTATATTTGGAGTTGACATTCAGATCCTATGAACTTATCTACTAATAAGACTGTCTGTAAATTGTATACTGAGCTGCATTTTGGATAGCCGAATGGTTATAGCACGTGCACGCTGTATCATAAGGTCTATTATTGAGTCAACTGGCGTAGTTTCGATTCCCTGTGAATAGGATCGCCTGTCCAACCTTGTGAGTTTTCTCTGGGTCCTCCGGTTTCCTCCCACTGCTAAAGACCCACATGCAGAAGAGAATTATTGAAATAAAATTGACCCACATGTTAGTCCCAAAATGACCTGTTTTTGTCAAGTGGACATTAAACCCAATTTCTCTCTTTGTCTGCATATTGTGGTAAATTATGGAATGATTCTGAGAAATATTTGGATTGGTAGAAAGTTAGTTAGATAATAATAGAATGCAAAATTCAGAAGAATAAAAAATAAAAACAAAAAGATTAAATTGTAATATGATTTTAATTGGATTGAGCTGTGTCTGGATTCTTTTTATTGCATCAAACATTTACACATTGTGCACCTTGCTTCTTGACTTATTAATGGTAATCAATAAGTTTCAATTAAATCCGCAGTGTGTAGGTGTACATGTATGTAGTAAATTATACAATAGTATTTCATTATATTTTTTTATTAAGAAGAGTCTGGAAGATTGTGTTTCCTACACATGTGATATTATTTGTTTGTAGTTTGAATAATTTAAATCCAATTTGAGAAATTTGATAATTAGAATTGAAGTGTAGGCTACAATATTGAACAGGTAATTCCATAAAGTAGCATATAAAAACCAGTACACCAGTACTAGGCCTACATTAAGCCATGGGATTTGAGGATAAATAAAATAAAAAAAACCCCTCTTTTTCTGCTGTTCAATCGCAAAGTCTGCAGTATGTTTAAGTCTCCCATTGTTCTCACAACCTCACAAAACCAAGCGCTTCCTACATCATTCAATCAGACAGCAAGAGACAGACTGTCAGTTAATGATCCTCTTAAATTTTTGTCCTGTGTGTGCCCTATGGGTGTTTTTCAAGGAATCCAGTATTTTTCTGGTAAGATTGGGTTTCTCTACTTTCCTTACCAAATTTGCCAGGCAAATAACTACCCATATAAATACTTTCGTGTGAATGTGCATATATCTTTAAACACATTGTAATTTTGAAATCTTCATATTTCATCTTTTTGAGGTATCGGTACCGAACATGGAAACAGCATTAACAAGGTTACAGGACAACTAGAACATTTCCAGACCTAATCAAATCATAATAAATCTCATACACACAGATATCATATTCCTAGTAAATCAATAATATTTCTCTATAAATAATGTACCAGAACATGAGGTAATATAATTGACAATTGTATATAAATCTTACATAATAGTATTGTTGAAATAGTCCACTAATCCCATGCATTTCTTTTTAGAAGTAAATATGCTTTGATTGATTTCCATTGGCTTTCGAGTTGTGATCAAAAGCTTGTGTTTTCGAATAAAATCAAATCTCAACTAGTGTTTCCTATGGAATTGCTTGTAAATTTTCTTTGAGTTGTGCAAGACTCGAAACGATGTGATTAAGCCATGCATAATGCCTATATGAAATTGAAATAATACAGAAGATAAATTGTGACTCACTATCCTTGTCAGCACGTGTATTAAATTACCGATATTGGCACCATAATTTCTTATGGGGCAGTTGGTCACTTGATCTTGATGAACAGGATTGTATTTCAAAAATAGGTTATCTGAATAATAGGCCTACACATTAGTTTGTATAAAACCAATCTTAACAAACAATATAGTTAGAATTATTACAAGCTGTAATTTTATTAACTGACTGTTCTCATAGGAGAAATGAGAGAATAATAAAAAGCAACTTTATTGTACAGTACTCCATGTACCGGGTAGATGAATTATGTAAACACTTTTATTACAACTAGTAAATCAAGTCTATTAGATTATTGTAGTATTTATTGCTAATTTTGCTTTGAAGATGTGGGTCTGTAAAGTATAAATTATTGATTTTCCTTCATACATGTACATGCTGTGAATTACTTTTTAAAGTGTCCATTTGTTAGCATGAACAATGTTAAATGCAAGATGTACACATCATTTGCAGTCATTTTAGGAAAAAACAGCTGAATGTAGCTTTAGGATTTATTTATGCACTACACATACACGAGTCTTTTGGCACAATATACACTTTGTACCTTGTTGCATCAGCTGTCTACCAGTATGCTTTTCTTCAGACAAGATAGTGCCTGTCATACCTCCCAATTACATACCTTGCCTAATAGACTAATGTAACTGCACGATAGAGCTATGTTGGATTGCTGGTTAAAATATTCCATCTTGGTACCTGTAGGAATCTACTGTGTGTAGTGAAACTGTAATGCCAACAATTTGTTTCTTCGTTCCTGGGGCTTAACATCCACTTCCACTGAGGTGATAGTGCAGACAAATCCCCAACTAAAATTCACAGTGATATACATACATGTACATGTATGTGTATAATTTATAAGCCAGGTTTTATGAAATATACAATGTTATTGGACTGTTATGATGTACATGTACAAATGTTTTCACATAATAACTAACAGTGATATAAACATTTTATTTCATTCTTTATTATACACAATGTTACCTATCCTCCAGAGTACAATACACAATGTTGTTGGTCAGTTGTAGAATAGAAGTGTATTCCCAACAATAACTCACATCAATATACATGTAACCCATACTTTAGAATACACAATGTTATTGTATATCACTAGATTCAGATCAGATTTTGCATGCAATCTGATTTGAATAGTCCCCTCAGTATAACTATATAGTCAGATCGGAAGCAGGGCTGCCAGTGAACCTGAGCTGCCAGTGTAAGGAATAGACTGATTATTGATCTTTGACCACCCTCCCTAGCTCACATAAATACCCTGGTAAATAAATGTATATTATCTAATGGTTTGGATTGTTCGTACTTG